TATATATATATATATATATATACTGTGCGCAGCGTATTTACATTTAAAATTTTCATACTTGAAATTTTTTTTAAAATTTCAAGTAGGAACACCCTGGCTGACATGCCTGGAGCGAACGGTAAAAAGTCGATTACCGTAATGATCCAGATGTACTGTACTCCGTGAAAACCGTATTTGTAGAATAATAAATTTTAAACCTTAAGATTTTTTAAGCGGAATGGATGAAACTGTAATTACCGCCGAGGAGTAAACAGGTCTAATTTATTATAATCGTACTTTGGGTTTTCAGGGTGAATGGTCAGGGGGTCACTAACAAGCAAGTACCTAACAAACGGGAACAAGTACTATTTCACAGTACTTGTTCCCGTACTGTGAAAATAGGGGAAAAAAGTGTTTCGAAAAAATTTTCGCAGATGTTGGTAACTGACCAGTGAAGTAATACGGAAGTTTATCAAACCAAATCATGTGTTCAATAAGCTTTTAAATTGCTGTAATCTTTTCGTCTTTACACCTCAGGCAACTGAAATTCAAAAATCCACAAAAAACCTTACTAGAGTAGCGTGAGATAATGCAAGTACATAACTTCGAATTTGAAAATTCCATTGATACAGTACCCCAAAAACATAACCGATGTCCTTCCTTCATTTGCTCCATTGATACAGTACCCCAGAAGCAATAACCGATGTCCACTAACTGCACTTGTCAGAATTGCTGGAATTGGAATTCAAATAACTGCAAGCACTGCAAACTGAAAAGCTGCCCGAGTCAGATAAAATAAAATAAACCTTTCCTTGCTTTCGCAATAAATTATTATGGCGATCCGGCTTCTACGCAGCGGCCAGCCTGCGGCACATGGTAAGCCACGTGGATAAAACGAATGACCAATGGCCAGCCGCCTACTGACTGGGTACGGCAGCTGTACGCACTGAGCCACTGACCACTATATTCTGCGAATTACGGATAAGAGTTCACATCAGGACACGCTGGTCTGACTGCGTCCATCGATCAGTAATGCATTATCCTTTCACGAAGATTTTAGCTTACACAAAGTATTCTTAGGGCCTTTGGCTAACTATTAGTAACGAGTAAGGTCTGACGATGGTCAGGACCATATCGTTAGCGGAGTTCCCTTGTATCGTAAAAACATTCTTCGGACCATCTTTATCGCATCATTTATGCTAACGATGTTTGGAAGCGTTAACTAAAACCAGGACTGCGTTGTGCTCCACGGAACAGAATATTCAGATTAATACTATCAGTCATAAACAGGTACGTCAAACCCTGGTGGGAATTTTGAGAGTGGTCTCAAAAATTTCAGTGTTTCACGGAGAATCGAATAAACTTTTTGTAGTGATTCGCTGGCTAGAGTATAATCGTTGAATAAATAAGAAGCAGAGATCTGCGTTTGCTTTTGGTATATGTGGTACGATCAATGGACCTGTCCATCCCCTGATGTACTTAATATGCCAGCGAACAATGGGGATGGAGTACTGTTCTCTAGGGTAGGGTATAGCGTATGAATTAATTGCAGCAATGAATACATGGGGCGGATTTGTGGAATATCACGTGCCTACTCCCATCGACGTCGACCGGAACATCGAAGCCAATCCCGTGGTGGACTGCGCGTCCATCGCTGAACTGCTGCTCAAGTACGGGCCAAAGCGCCCCATCAGGGAAAATGCTGCTGTCCCCTCCCCCAGCGCCCTGCCCCCCGAACCGAGCCCCGTCGCCGCCGCCAATGTTCCCGAACTGCCCCTTAATCCCCCCGCGGGCACCTCCGAGCAAGAGACACCGCTCGAAACCCCAGTGTCGACAGTACCAGTGCTCTCACTGGACGGGAATGTCGACGCCATCATCCCCACCTCTGTTACTGTTGATCCGCAACTCCCCTCACCGGTTGCACAACCGGTCTTTGTTATTCCGGTAACCGAGTTGAATAAGCTGCTGGAACAGCATGGGGCTACGGTTGTCGGTGGAAATCTTCTGCTTCCGGTACTGCCCAATCAGTGTCCAGCGGCTATCGAAGCGCCGACTCAGGGTGGGAGCATTCCGACGGAGGCCTGCAGGTAACCAAAACTTGCTGTCGATTTGTGGCTTTTCCTGAACATGTGTTTTCTGTACGAATCTGCATCTTCAGCTGTATTATCTTCCAGTTCATTTTGGTGGTTACTTTTGATTCCTTTGATTTTATTTAGGTGTTCCTTGGGCTTTAATAGTGATTTATTTATCTAATCTGGAATACTATTTGTTTATCCAGAACTCATCAGAGAAACTGCTCTAATAAGTCTGATTCTGTTGTACTCTGTATTTGTTGAATAACGTTATACGGTTATTACTTAACACAGAAGCTGTTCGTTTAAATTTTTAATGTTCTTTTCATCCTTTTGTGTTTTTATTTTTTGCAACGTGTACAGATAAGAGCGCAGATTAATGCGTTATGCGCTTTTATAATCCTGTTGTCCTACAACTCACTCAGCTGTCATGCTTTTCCTTGCTGAAATTGTACCGATAGCTTGATTTATTAATCATCATGTCCAATGTCCAGATGACTTGGTTTTTTGTACCTATTGTCCCATATTTCTTTGTTCTGCTTTTTAGGCATTTCTTCAATTAATTTACTGTACTTTTTCTATAGTCCGATCCAAGAAGCTCTATCCCCAATGGTTCAAAGCATGACGTCGACTTTGCCTGGTCCACAACTGACCGAAATGCCGGACACTCCGTCGGAAGCGTTTATAGAATCTCCACTGGCGGCACCAATTGTGTCTGTAGACGACGAGTCCAACAGCTCCACAAGTACCATTACCGCCTACGTTGTTTCGCCTACATCGTCATTGTCAAGGAAGCGTAGTCGACAGAACAGCGAGGACCCCTTCGACAGCGTGGACGGTGCATCCCGAACTGACTCTGATGCCGGATGGGTCAAGCATTTCGAGACGGAGGAAGCGCATGAGCGCTGCAATCAGATTTCCATTCTGCCAGTAATGCCCACCGTCACGTTGATTCCTTTTCCAAGGTACGATTATTGTTATAAATTGTTGTCTTTTTCCTCTTTAATAACTGATTTGTTGGATATTTTTATGTGTACAGTCTGTAGTTCGAGTTACTGTGCAGATAAAACTATTATTTTATTATTAAGATAAAGCTATTGAGCAGAAATAACTGAATGGTTTATCCTCTCCGGCAGTGGACAACGTCATCAGAACCATTCTAACATCAAATATGTAACTTAAGAAATCCATCAGGTCTCAATATTGGTGAAAAATTCGGAATGCTTTTTAGAAATAACCAGATTGAGACGTGATATCCACTTTCAACGTAATGCCGATAGCAAGCCAGTTTTAAGTGCAGTATTTACTATTAAATTTCGCTTCTACAGAGATGAAAACATACTATCGCAACCGTTTCCAAGTCGAGTGGACGGTATTGAACTGAAAGTTACCAAACAGCCGGAAACTCATCACAGGGCGCGTTACCGTACCGAAGGGAGCCGGGGCTGCGTTAAAGATCGCTCACGTATGCATTGTCCAGAAGTTCAGGTAATCATTCCTGTAAAGATGCAGAATCAGTAATTATGCTAACAAGTAAGCGTACAGGTTTTGCAAGTCTAGAATATCGTTGCTTCGCCACAGTTTTCAAAAGGTCTGACCGTAAATTATAAAACAAGTCCGAAAAGGGTATCATAAATTTCGTAATGCAATTTGTAACATAATGCAAAATGATTACAAATGAAACGAAAAAATTAAATGCTAAAATGGAAATAAAGAATGGTAAAATGAAAAATATGCCTAAATTTTTTTAACATGTTTGTACGAATTAATGTTTATTTTTATGCGATACATGTAGTTGACTGGATATGGCGGCCTAGATGGAGTTCTTCTGGTCTTCCTCGCAAGTGAGAGCGGTCCCGTGCACCCTCACAACACATACCGAGCGATCCGGGCTGGAGGCAGAAAGGCTACCGGGTGCAGCTACGTAAAATTTGGGTCAATAGATGTCCTGCAGATGGAGATCAAACCATCCAAACAGTGGACGGTCAAGTACGTATGACTGTCTAAACTCTAAATGGTACTCGTATCTAGGCTAATGATTCTAATTCCAGAATTATACCAGGTGCTGAGGTGCTTGGTTGTGTTTTATTCTTTTCACTTGGCTTACTGCAGCAGTACGGTACAATATGAAATTCACTTTGCTTGGTTTAGAGTCGACAACATGGGCATAATGAAACTACGCAATACCGATCTGGATGGACATTGTCCGCGTCGGTCAGCTAAAGGTGCGGCAACGAAACGGAGCCGGAAGGTTCGCCTGGCATTTCGAGCTATTGTGCCGCTGTCCAGTGGGGAAACGCTCACTCTACAAACGGTTTCCACTCCGATTTCGTGTAGTAAGCCGTTCTTGTTATAACGTTAACGACCTTCACTGTAGACTTGTACTTTAGTATCGAAATATTTTGATTTTCATATTGGTAGCAAAATCCATGTCCAAATGCATTTTTAATTTTTGAAGTTGTCTCACATTTTTGCAATTATTTAAAAATTAGACCAGCAGCTCATTTAGAAACTGGACCACTCTTTCATGTCTTGATTAAATCTGGAAAGTGTTCGATAAGACCAGCTCATAAGCTTGCAATATAGGCGCTGCGCCGGGCCAACCCGAAATTATCCACCTATCTCACGATGAATATGCTGCAGCCGGCGGACTGGACTTAATAATTTTAGGGAAGAATTTTCTGAAAGATGATAGCAAAGTATGGATATCAGAGAAATGCGAAGGTAGTGCTTATTTTGAAACATCATCACACTTACTGTTGACAAAGTTTAATTTATTTGGGTTATGTATAATAGACGACGAGGTGATATGGGAGACTACCATGCCATTGAAATCGGAGTTTTACCACAACACACACATTGTCGCTACGGTCCCGCCGTACCACCAAACAAATATTCCCACGCCCGTTATAGTATGGGTGACGGTCAAAAACCGCAATGGGAAAGAAAGCGACCCCGTCCGATTTCGATACGTTCCAAATTCGTGCATGAAAGGTATCAGCGCTAACTTTAATGCCTGATGGAGTGTTTGTATCGGTTTTTATTGGTTTTTTTTAGTAATTCACGAGCATAATTTTGATAAACTGTATTATTTTCAGAATTCTTAACGAATGAATCTTGCTTTACTTCCGCAACTTGTACGCCTACCAATAAGGAGTCCGACGTTCCGCTTTCTATGGCGCCCGATTATACGAACGCTTTCTATCCCCTGGACTTCTTTGGAACGGATAGCCAGGATAACGCTTCCAGTGAACAAGTGTTCAATGATCTTCTGTTGGATATTTTCGGATCAGCTGTTCTTCCGGAAGGCTGTCAGCAAGTTTTGTCGGGAGTGGCCGACGTATCGCTGGTTGATCGCTCAAATTAAATACTAATACTCAACGATGTGTTTTTGTTTATTTTCTTCATTATAGCAGTGGAAGTTTTTTTTTACCGTTCCATAGTTGTTGTGCATGCGATTTTTGTTAATTTGGAACGTTTATTTAAATTATTTGACTTTCTTTTCAATCGGACCGTTTTAGACCGGTTATCTGTAAATATAATAGTTTCACAAATGCACAAAATGTTACAATATCTTTCGCTCTTATTACTTTTGCAAACTTTCATTTGTATTTTGTACCATGTATTTCGAAACGTGTAGCTCTCGTCATGGGACACCGGAACTGAAACGAGAAGACGCCGTAAAGTAACAAATCAATCTTTGGTTTATTCTATTATGGTTGGGTTTTCTTTGCGCTGTGCTGCAGTAATACTGGCTGTGCGCTTCTTACAGGGATTTACATTCGATCACCTGCAAAAGCAGTTAACAAGACGCGGGACGGTAACTTGCTACACTAGTAACCAAAGACAGCATCGGCGTCAGAAGAAGTTATAAATCTTTCCAGAATGTCGTCCTATGCTCTGAATAAACTTCACAATATCCATCACCATTCCTGGTTGTGTAGTAGCGGGCAGAGAGCAGCAGCCGGAAGTCTGTGTCGGCGCACTGGTGGTTGTTGCAGTCAGCTGGCATCGCCAGGCACAACTATTAACAATATAATCGGGGCAATCGCCGAATGCTCGTTTTTTCCTTCCCGCAGCGGTTGTCGGACGGGTACTCTTCGTTGGCCTCGGGGACGTGAGTCGCGTGGTAGTCGTGGAGGTGGTCGGGGCACTGGTATCCGTCGTAGTGGTTGTGGTTGTAGTCGAAGTTGTTGCACTGGTGGTGGTGGTGATCGGCGGAGGCGGCGTAGTCGTAGTGCTGCTAGTCGATGTGGTGGTAGACGAGCTGGTAGTGTAAGGTGGTGACGAAGTGGCGGTGCTGGCAGTCGACGTCGTGCTCGTGGTCGAAGCAAGGGTCACCATGGATGTTGCTGTCTGACTCTGTGTCGTGGTTGGTGCCGGTAATTCCGAAATCCACCCGGAAGTTGTGCTTGTAGTCGCGACGCCGGTGCTGGTTGTGTATATGGGGCTGTAACAGTTAGAACTTACACACTGCTGGAAACAATTGTAGACGTTTTGTTCAGAAAACTGTCGACTGATTGGAGATGGTAGACGGTCACTTCTACGAATGTTTGATGAGTACCAGAGAGACCGGATTCCATTTGGATAAGCTAGCTCCGGTTCGCAGCTTTTTACAGCGCACATAAAGACGAGAAAAACAAAAACATGGCTGTATTGTTTATGGACCATTACTGGGCGAGCTCGAGACAAACTGAGGATTATATGCCCATAATGTTTTTGCTAAGATACAGCCAAAACAAAGGCTATAATATCGTGCCAGAACAAATTTTATGTAGACACAAAAGGGCGTACTTAGGGCGTAGGGCGTAGGGCACAAAAAGGGCGTAAAAAGTGAAAAAAATCGCGTTGCAGTTCAGGTTTTACAAAATCTTCGGGCAGACACTAACGTTTTTTGTGCTAGCTAAAAATTTATTGTTATCCTAGAGGCATCTTTGTTGTGGGTCCATTAACCTAACCGATACCAAAGCGAAGTAAATGCGGCAAAAATTTTAACACCAACATCTTGGCATAGAATTATACGTAGAACTTAATGTGACGTAGGTTTTCGAATTATTTGTACCAATAACACCTTTTGTGTATTCAAAGTAAAATAAAATGCTCCTGTACGGATAAGTTAACTATTATCCGTCTATCACATGCAAATATTTTCAGAATAACACTAATAATTGATCACCTGGTACGTCTGATGCAAAACGATATTAAACTGGTTGCCGAACACACGGAAACTACAGCACAGCGTTTGTTAAAGTTCTTGCACTATTGTGTTACAACAATGACTCAGCTAAAACTAAAACTCGCATTAGCTAATCATTTCGTTTTCCTTATTAACGACTTCCGGCTTATTAGCAATACTGCCGTATCACCGTCATTAACTTCCACGCGGAATCCGAGCTCATTAAAATTTCTGTAATCGTACCGCGTATACGTAGCTATTCGCTGCCGTGGAGCTTATTGTTAACAAGTCCCTTAGCATTATTTGCAGTTTTTTGTAAGTATCCCCTAAAGACAAATTCTGTACAAGGTAGCGTGACTAATTCGTAATGGCGTACAACACATGTTTGTTCACGCACACCGGCGCAAGCTGTTGAGAAATTCTCCATAATTTTCTTATTACAAATCCGGTCTTCTAGAAGCACCTGTATGTACAAGCACATTACAGTATTTTTTCTGATATATCGAACCAACCTGAGAGACTGGCGTATGGACAATAACCGGAATGTGGCGGTAATAAATAGTATGATGTTTTAAAAATGTCGGGGGCATCCAAATTATTGTCGAAGATATATATAAACACAGCAGTGTTGATTTGATCAGTACACTTCACTAATTGGCTTAAAGCAGTAATTTCCTGCAGCCAATCTTGCGATCAGTTTACCTTACCATTAATATTGCTCTCGAAAATGCTGCGCCAAGTCGTGTTTTTATCGTTGATTATCGGAGCTCTGGCCGGTTTTGGCAGTAAGTTGCGCATGCTTCTAAAATCTAAAATACATGAATATCCTGCTAGCGCGTTTAGACTGTTAGTGGCGTTAAACCGGAAATTGTATTGCGTTAACATGTATTTTTTAAATTACTATATACATATTCTATCACCGTTGCTGCAATAATATGTAATCAAGGTAGTGAAACAACTATACTGGCGCATTTAAAGTAAGTAACTAACAATTTTCAGGGTTCAATGATAATTTCGGTAACAACAACTTCGGCAATCCGGGATTTAATCAATTCGGGAACCCAGGGTTTGGTGGCGGTAATTTCGGTAGTCAGAACTCAGGGTTCGACCAGAGTGCATTCCAAAGCCAAGACCAGGCAGCTGGTAACGCTGCTGGCGCCGGAAATGCAGCGGTAGGCGGTGAAGGTCAAGCCCAGAGCATTAACAAAGCCGATCACCAAGCGGACGGCAGACGCACCCAGTCCAGTGGTCTCAGTGCCAACACCGCCCAGGGTACCGGTGGAGTAACGGCCGGTGGCGCCGCCCAAGCCGGTGGTCAAACAGCCAGCCAGAAAGCCGGACAACGACAACGCGGCTTCAATAACAACAATTTCCAAAGTTTTGGTGGTTTTAAATAAACAATTCTATTTTCCTGTACATCTACTGGTGCGAACGACATCAACAAGTATTTTTCCCTGTTGTTGTGATTTGGATTTTCTATAATAAAAATTCAGGCAATCTGAAATTCTTTCACCCGTTGGTTCCCATAGTTTTCATCTTCACATGGCGCAGTCCTTTCGTTCTAGGCTAACTGAGAACCCATGACGGCAGGCTGTCAATTACTCCTCCAGAAACTGCATGTGTAGTAGGAGTACCTGGCCAGCTCACCATTCGAAAATTAACTGGACGAACGCAACAACATTGCACTAATGTAGAAAGCTATCTCCATGTCATCATTCTTGCATTTTAACAAAAGGAAGTTGTAAACCGAAAACCCCTGTAAAACGACCCAAGAAGACCACTGTGCAACGAAAACGGATGAAGTATCAACCTAACCATGTGGTTTAAAAGCCACCTGTCGTAAGACATCGTGTGAAAAATAAGGTGACCACGAATAACATCGGTGGTACGTTTTTTATCATTTACAGTATCGCCAGATGCCCTATATAGCCTGAAGTGAGTATGGGCGAACCTTGCATATATACTTTGGTAGCTATTCCAGCTACATAAAATGTTTTTGCATTTTACGTGGACTTTTGCATTATTCGGCCACGGTTTTAAATTAAGGAGCCATAGATGCTCACTTGGAAAAGTATTGACGATGAATCTGCCTACGCTTTCCCAACCCTGTTGCCTGATGAAAAGTAAAAAGAATCAACGATACATACCCAAAATGATAGCATTTTCGACCATATGTGTCAGTCGCGGGCTGCGGTCGATGTGGACGGAAGCTACCAATATTATAATGGTTAGACGCACAATTAAAGAGCTACCGAAAGAAATTATATAACTTGGATCCCTTTTGTCCGAGGCTTTGGATGAACTTGACAATGTCAAAAGACATTCCCGAGTCGGGCTCGGGGTTGGCGCCCCAACCGTGTCCGTTTTGGTACGCCGTGGTGGTGGTTTGATACTGACCCCATCCTGGCGTTACCGGCCACCAAGTAGTGGTAAATGCATACTGGCAGTTCCAAGCACAGTTGTTCACCACGTAGTCTGGACAGTCGTTGAAGGCACGCTTCTTTCGGCCAGCGGCCGTTGTTGTGGTTGTTGTAGTGGTGGTCGTGGACGTGGTCGTTGTGCCGGTTGTGGTGGTAGTAGTAGGGCCAGTAGTCGTGGAACCACTTGTGGTCGTACCGGTACCGGTTGTCGTGGTGCCAGTAGCAGTAGTACTAGTAGTAGTTGGACCAGCGGTTGTAGTAGAAGTAGTGTAAATGAGACAGCCACTGTAGCTGTTGATGCAGTTTGTAAAGCACGTATAGTAATCGGACCCGTAGTACTGCCGACTGTCTGGTGCGATGTCTCGGCTGTTGCCTTGGGACGCCGTGGATTTAATTCGCGCAAGCGGCACCGGGTCGGTGGTGTAGCCGTTAATGTAAAGCACAAAAAGTACCCACCTCCAAAACATTTTAAGTTCGTGCCGGTAAAAGCCCATGGCTACCGTAATTATTATTGATGCCTGTTAAATGCCCCTATAATATCTGCACAGCTGCACCCACGTGCACTATGCTCGAAAGGCTCGGAAAGGTCAACTGAGTGGAAGAAAATAACGTGAGTGGAACAGACCACGTTCCGCTGTAGCTGTACTTCGAATAAAAAACAGTAAGAAAGCCATGGTTTATATTTGTGTCTACAGTATACAGTTATTACTAACACCAGCTGCAGGCGCTGTGTCGTGTTAAGTCCATTAACCCGACGTTAGCGAACATACTCTATCTGGTTAAAACGGGATGTCGGTTAATTAAAAGGGCTGAAATTTATATCTTTAATAATTAATTTTCATGTTTTACAAAGTATTACAACGGCCCATGGCGCATCTTCACCGAATCAGCTGTTTTCATATGCCACAAAATTACTGTCTGTATGTTTTACTATTCCACGTTTTTTCCAATCGTAGCTGCCGCATTAGCCTGGATTTTTTTATTAAGTTCATGGATCTGGTTCGGATTGGAAGCAAAACTGATCACGTTTCCAATGAACGGCAGTTTATGCGTTCCGCAAATTCGTGCTGTTTGAGTATCCGTACAGTGCATCAAGCTTGTAACCATAAAGATGCGTATTCGGAACCCAGCGCGTTGCTATCAGAAAATGTTTATGACAGATTGGCTAATCGCACAAATGACATTTTTCTCATTAGATGTGCGACCATGGGGATGCCAAATTCCAAAATTTACTTCTTAAGTAACATCCGATAGTTTCTCCTCTTTTCGGTTTTTATATGTCCATACTGGACGATGAACTTTGGCATAATGGCTGCAGGACCTGTTCAGGTGATAAACTGGAAAATTAAATTAAAATTGTGCGCAGCAAGTTAATGATCGGCCTCCCGGCAAGGTTTGTTGACGTATCTAAACGAAGAGCAATGCCTGTAGAGCGTAGACGAACCCAGTGCTGTAAAACATTTTGCTTAGAAAAGTTTCAGATTTAGAGTTTTCGAAAATATAAAGGCATTGAAAATATCAAGTTTTTGAGAATATCATGCACATAAAACTCGGCCGTATTTTGTTGACATGTAAATTGTAAGTCGTAACACGGTGTACAGTACGTAGTATTACATATCAGCAATCGCTCTATCTTTGCGACTTTAATTTAGCAAATACAGAGTACGTAACAACACATAACAACTAATTACTGTATACACAACGATTTGTAGTTATGCCCAACAAAAAGCAAGCAGTATAAATGACTGATTTTTTTATATTTGTTCGGCTGAAGTGACGATTACTTGTACAATTATTTCAATAAATACACCCATAAAAGCACTAACGCAGCATCATCGTCGGAAGAAATTGTACAACTTTGCACCCTTTTGACCTAAACTCTGGATAAATTTAATAATGTCAATTGATAATCCTTGGTCCTGCTCCGGTCTGGCGCCCCACCCATGACCTCCCTGGTACAAGGGCGTTGTGGTTTGCGTTGTCATCCCCCAGCCACTGTAGCCGGTTGGCTGGCACATTGACTGACAGTCAGTGAGCACCGAATACGGACATCCGGGACAGGAAAAGGTCGCTCCAGCTGTTGTTGGGTATCCCGTTGTCCACCATCCGGTTGTCGTTGTGGTGGTGGTCGTTGTGGTGGTGGTCGTTGTGGTAGTCGGGGTCGTATAGCAATACGGTCGACAGTTGTTCTCAATACATGCCGCTGCACAGGAGCTGTCACCTGGATAGTACACAAATTGCCGGCTGTCGGATGAGAAATCTCTGGCGTTCTGCGCGCGGGATGGGGACAGTCCATAACTGATTCGAATAGGAACCGAATCTCCCGAGCAGAAGAAAACCGCATGACATAATGAAAATATTAACTTAGGCAAAAACATTGTCTGTAACTTCTTTCGAAAGAATTCTTTCATCCGAAAGACGTTAATATGTAGTTATGAAGTGATTTTATAACTCACCAGCTGCCAAATGTTAAAAGTTTCAACAAGACTGTAGCTAAAAATGGTTCTTCTGGCGTTGCCTGCCTTGTAAGAAAAACAAAGCTTATTAAAAATGACTGCAAATGCAGATATTGTTTTGTATTTGTGTAAGGGAATTTGTTTCTTGATATAAGCCGGCTGAGGATTTCCACAGCAGTGTAAACGCTACCCGTAGTCGTTTTTTATCCTGGAGGGCAAATGACCATATAGACCCCGTGGGACAGTACGTCCTTGATACGATGCGCCTTTGACCTTTAGATCTTTTTTTGCTGAGCAGATACCAGAGTTTTGATGATAATACTGCAATTAACAGTATTTATTTCTTGCGAATACACATTATTGCAGATTTAAAGGTTATTTGCTGGTAAAAATGGAAGCCATATGTTGTCATACGGCACACTATTTAGTACGTTATCGGTTCCATTGTATGATTATACTAAAACGTCAATCTATTCACCAAGAACATGTGGATGCAAATTTTATTTTGTTTTAACAACGGTTTTGCGGATTCTCTTAGCAAAAACTGGTAGGTGTCTTGGCCACAATTTGAGAACAGCGGACTGTACAGATCTCAAATCTTTACAAATCCCCGCATGCATACAGTATACTCGTATTGTAAATTTGCGGCTGCCAAGCAAGCGCTTCGATGCCCACCTTCGTAAACTGTAATATTGCATGTATCGTTCTAACCATAAGAAGCCGCGTGCCGCTGTTTTTTTTAAGCTTTGATGATGCTGACAGAAGCAAGAACGCACAGAAGGTTTCCTTTATTACACCAAATTATTGCGTTTATGATCCGTCAAATCTGCCAGAGAATTATTACCCAAGCATAATTTCGTCCCGTAACAAGCAAATACAAACACGCAGTGGTCCGTGGAAATTATGCACAGTATAACCGTGAAAATTGGCGTACCACAGAGTTCTGTCTTTCGAATCGCTCATCAGTTAATCACTGTACAAAAGCGCACCAGTGGAAATCGGCGGAGAGGATTCCGAATGCATGATGGCATACAAATCCGCACAATTGCTGTTTCGTTTTGCAAAGGATTAGGAATTATCGGCAGCGGTCAGTCATCGAACAACATACTCCGAATAGCCCAACGAGACTGACTGTGGCGGAAACAGCAGTTGCCGGTACTTCTATCCCGATTCCAAACCTCGTAAACAACAGCTAACATACGTAATGGAATCAAAGAATTCAATGAGAAACAATGAAATCTCGGCCCTAAAACAAATCCCGTCCTAGGGCAGAGACCATGTCGAAATTGTCCCATCGGTCATGGATGGATGGCAGGTTCACAATGAGAAAGCTCAAACCACGGCGCAACTGCCCGCTGCGGAATTTAAGAAGTACGATAAAAAGAAGAGTTCAGAGACAGAAGAAGAAAATACAAGATCATTCAAGAACTGAAAATTTAAACTATTTATATAACCTGCCCAAACTCAGCTCACAAGCGAATCTCGCAAAATCGAATCGCGAGATGTTTGCTGATAAGGTGACACATAGCACTGTGACAGCAGTTGCTGGGAAGGTAACCGCTAACAAACTGTTACAAAAGCCGAAAGAATCCTGCTCTAGCTACTGTACAAGTCCTTGCATGCAAGGGTGGTGGTCAAGTAATAAAGGTTGCCGTCGACATGTTCAACACATGTTAAAAGACAGCTTTATATTTCGTTAGCCATAATACGATAAGGAATTACACAATTACGGTACGGTAGTTCTTTAAGTGCTGGCACCAACAGAGATTTCCTCGTTAATTAGTGGTTGCCTTTTATACGCAAACGCTATAAATTTTGTTTCCTTTTTATCAGTATAACACCTGCAAGGAAAAAAAATTCCATATGTATAAATGACCCTAAGTACAGTATCAACGGAAGTTACTGAATGAAATACTAGCTCGATCGTCCAAGTCTGAGGAGGCTGAACTTGTTAAGTGTCAGAAAGGTTAGGTTACGACCGTTATGTTAAATAATTAAATTTTTGTGCTCGTACTCGTACCAGCTTGCATATGATGGTGCGCGGTTTTCCGGTACTGTATTAATCCCGTTTTATCAAATATTATTATAAGGACAAATGTGCTTCTTGAGAAAAAAAGTTAGTGATTCGATCGATTTACATACTTTTATTTTTCCTGGAAAGCCCTACAATGGTCTGGCAAGTTTTGCGTATGAACGCAATTGTCACAGTAATTAAAGCGTACACAAGTGTGGGCAGATTGTTAACCTACAGAGTACTTTAGGTTGAATATTGAAACGCGATGGTAAAAAATATGTTCTACCCTAAACTGATACCGAACGTATTTTATTCCAATCTGCACAATCTCAGTCAAAAAAGTCAGATCTCAGCTGCCTCAGTACTTCCGGGGAAATTATGGTGGCAAGGTACGGCATTGTGGTCGTGCACCAATACCGTCGGAAAAGATGTTTCGCATTCCCAAAAATTTGCACAAGCGCAAAGTGCACGTACGCTCTTTGGTTATACATTGCATTACCGTACGCTAACCGAACTGACTCATTAATGTCCATGGCTGCTTGCAAATATTCCGGTTACAGTAGTCCCCTCGGGGCCAATATCGCGGTCGTTTCAAATAATCGCCTGAGCCTGACCAGTACGTACAGTACAAACGCACATGGAACTGTCGCGAACTTTCCAGATAACTCCCGCTGATTTTCTTCTTACGATTCCGGTGTATCAGCAGTGCTTGTGCGCAGGTTCCAACAAATCCGTCTTGCATTTACGGCCTGGCACAAGACCGACAACTCGGAATATGCCGGTAATAAGACACAAGATAATAATTCTTATGGCGCCTCGTTAGCGCACCAAGTTTTCTGCTTGGCGCTCGTATATATAGGTGCAAGCAATAGTTTTGGACAAACATTACTTATTGCCTGTCTCTTGTCGTCTAGCCGGCTCAAAATAATAAATCGTTCCCGCAGCACCGAACAAAAAATGTTGACGCAAGCTGTGTTTTTATTCCTTCTCGTTGGAGCCCTTGCGTTTCCTACCCGTAAGTACCAGGCTGTGCTATAAGCTTAAAACAGTACGTATTAAGAACAGAAATACTTTTGTATTTGAATTTAATGTAGAATAAACGTGGAGACCTCAGTCCCGTTGCATGTTTCATTTTCGTTTTGCTTACAGTTAGCTAATGCGTTTCTATTTATAGAATTTGGAAACTTTGGTCAGAGCGGTGCTTTTGACAGCAGCAATTTCCAAAGCCAAGATCAGTCCCAAGGTAATGCGGCGGGTGCCGGTAATGCTGCAGTCGGGGGCACCGGATCCGCCCAGAGCATTAACAAGGCCGACCACCAAGCCGATGGCAAGCGAACCCAGTCCAGCGGCCTGAGCGCCAACACCGCCCAGGGTACCGGCGGTGTGAGTGCCGGCGGCGCAGCTCAAGCCGGTGGTCAGACAGCCAGCCAGAAAGCCGGACAGCGTCAGCAGGCTTTCCAGGGTACCAACTTTGGCACTACGGGCTTTGGTGGTCAACCTCAATTTGGTAACTTTGGCGGCCCTGGAAATGGATTTTCTAACCCCAATGCTGGCTTTGTTTCTGGTCCTGGCTTTGGTGGTAACAATTTTGGTACCTCCAGCAATCTCGGCAACCAGAATTTCAACAAGCAGACTCAATCGGGCGGTAATGCCGCTGGAGCCGGTACAGCCTCCGCCATCAATGGACAGGCGACGAGCCTAAACACAGCCGACCAGTTTGCCGATCAGCACGGAGATAGAGAAAGTGGCACAAGTGCGAACGCGGCCGACGGCTTTAACCCCAACACCCAAGGCGCTGCGCAAGCTGGTGGTGCCACCCAGGGACTCAAGCAGGGATCGAGGTTTAATGCTTTCAACAATCAGTTTAGCAATGGATTTTAAACGATGTTTCCTGTTAATGAATGAAGTGTGATATTAAATAAATATAAAGATTTATTATTGCATAAATGCATTGGTGATCTAAATTAGAGTCACAGATTTTGAAAAAATGGCAAAAGTTGTAAAAAGGCAAAATAATCTGACACAAATGAATGCTAAAAAACCGAAAATAAATCTGACGCCATAAACGTGGGATTTCAAACCGGGTTTTGTCGTTATGTAAGATGACAGTTCGGTGACAATTAAAACTTGGTAAGGTGATCACGTTATCATAAAGTGATAGTTAACGATGAACAGCCACAATAATTTTAGGTTGGTGCATAAATTTTGTGGCCAATAAAAACCGGTTATTTGGCAATCTCATCAAAGTTTAGCAGAAATAGCAGCAGAAGTATTGTAGAAAGGGAAATAGTTTCTTTTGAGGCACAGAATAGGGAAAGGGACAAATTATGTTAAAACATGACAGCTAAAGCTAAAGGAGTGTCCATAATTATTGAACCGATTGCCTTAATTACAGTATGTAAAGGGTTTGAAGGTTAGCACTTTGCGGACGTAGCCGCGTTATATCTACAGTATAGTACCATGTAATTATGAGAACATGCAACTTTAAGACATCCATTACCATAGTTGGGTTATCAGTTAGTGCATTAATACCATCGTTCTAGTGCACATGAAACATGTGACTTTGAGTTTGAACACTCGCGTAAAGAATTCAACCTAACAAATAACTGCCCCCAGAGGCGGCAGCTCTTTTGTGCATTAAACAACCATCTACGTACATTGGACGAAAATTTGTCAACTGCAGGTGTTAAATATACTATGATATAGTTTTATGTACGTACGTAGCTGTTTTTACTGTACAAGTCTTTGGCTCACCCTTGTTCGAATTTTGCAAAGCACGAAATGCTTATTTTAATATCTTAATTAAGCACAAAGCTTCTACATATATCGCCACATGAAAGCGAAAAACACGTCTGCAGGTTAGATAATATAAAGCTGGCAAAAGCTCCGGCGAATTATAACTGCCATTTGAAATCGACCATATCTATTAGTAATTCAAAAATAGAAAAGGCACCTTGAATCTGCATATACAGATATCAAGAGATTTGTACCATAACGTTTCTTTTTTTAGCATAGCCAAGACTAAGAGTAAGCCTAGAGCCCATGAAATAGTGATTGATGATCACTGGTTTTTGTGCCAATATCAACCGTTGTCTAACGTGTTTGTTTTTTTGTGCTTTTCATTTTTTCAGAAAATTTGCAGCGATTGTTTGTTGGTTAGCTTGTACTGCTTAACGCGTAAATGCAACGCAACTATGTGTTTAAATAAATACGTGAGTAAAACAATTATTTTCCCTTTAATGCATACTGCATTTGCCATTTTTGTGCAGCACATCGTCATTTCTCTCCGTAGAAAAATCTGGATTTCGGATTTATGTTTCAATACATCTTACGCTTTAGTGTAAGACTAATTAATTATATACATTTTAAATATTGAGTATGCATTCAGTAATTAACCATGATATACGGTACTGGTATGTTGAGTCGATACTTCGACGTATATACATGCAGTACGTTTCCGCAAGTTGCCTTAAGTGCAACTATTAAGTAGAGGTTGGCCATTACTGGTACCCGGGTTCATCGGCTACAGAAACATTGCTCAAGACGGAAAATCCAAAGAAACATAAAATTAATCGAAAACCGGCACCAACAGAGTCGAATAAAACGTGCAACATACCAGGTACAGTCTGGGTGACATGTCATTACCTAGCCATCCTTTACAGAAATGCAACATCATCCCTAGGCAATGTTGACCTCTTTGTCTAGTGTTGCGAAGGCAGGCTGATTCATAAGCAGCACTGCGCTAGAAAATATATAAACTGCCAGTTAAGTGGCAGAAAGTCATTTCACCACTTTCTTTTGGAATATACAACCTTGTTTATCTGCTTACGGATTACCTGTTTCAGTCCTTCATAATGCTTCGTCAAATCATTTTTTGCACTCTCCTAATCGGGGCGTTTGCGAGAGAATTCGGTAAGTCATCAAATAGAATGTATGGTAAACGCTGAATGTTTTAAATAATCAATTGTGTAGTGTTAATCGTCGGATTTGTCAAGATCCAGTGCAGTTTAGGGCTTTAAATACATAACAAAAACGTATTTTGTCATTTTTAGGCAGGTTTAATAACCAAGGTTCATCCTTCGGTCAGCAAGGATCGCAAGACCAGAGTGCCTTCCAGTCGCAAGATCAAGCGCAAGGCGATGCTGCCGGTGCCGGTCAAGCATCCGTCGGTGGCACAGGCTCCGCCCAGAGCATTAACAAGGCCGATCACCAAGCTGATGGCAAGAAAACCCAGTCCAGCGGTCTGAGCGCCAACACCGCTCAGGGTACCGGCGGTGTGAACGCCGGAGGTGCCGCTCAAGCCGGTGGTCAGACCGCCAGCCAAAAGCAAGGCCAGAAGACCAGCTCCAACTTCGGTAACTTTGGTAACCAGGGCTCCAATTTTGGCACCTTCGGTAACCAGGGCACCGCTTTCAACCGTAACCCCGGCTTCCCTAATAATAATGGTGGATTCCCAAATACTGGCTTCAACGGTGGCAGCAATAGCAACAGCGGCCGTACCGGTCAGAATTTCAACAAGGCCTCCAATTCCGGTGGTAATGCGGCTGGCGCCGGTACGGCTTCTGCCACCAATGGACAGGCGACGAGTATTAACACAGCTGATCAGTTTGCCGATCAGAATGGTGACCGGGAAAGCGGCACCAGCGCCAATTCCGCCAATGGCTTTAATCCTAACACCCAAGGCGCTGCGCAAGCCGGTGGTAACATCAATAAGGCTAAGCAAGGTTCCAAGTTCAATCAACAAAACAGCAACTTTGGCCGCTTCTAAACTCGAGTATCCAACAACAAGCTCATAAATTTTGTGTTAACCAGGCGTGTAATTTCTAACAATGCTGCAGCTTTGCCGGTAGCTAAATTCGGGCCAGTTCTCGACTCGAATCGCAAGTAAGAGAATATCTTCTCTAACGTCGCGGCTTGCTGACAAAATTATAATAAAATGCTGATGTGATTATATATTGTTGTTTATCTCCCATGCAACAAAAAATGCATAATTTAAGAGAACAAATCGCAAGTACTCATAAAATCTGATATCTAAATTTAATTCCCATTCTCGGAGGTTATTCCAAGACAATATATTTCTACACCGTAGACAGTTATAGTGGTACATTGCGTAAGACTATTCCACAGAAACTGTTGTTTTCCGAACTTGAACCACTATTGTGTAAATACATAACACAGTGAACAATTAAATGAGGACTCACAGCTTGACCGCACTTCCATGAACAGATGAACTCATAGACACTTCCCAAGTCTGCCACAAACAACCACAAAAGCTTTAATTTAAACTGTACAGAAAATCTGGTGTAGCATATTATTTTATGATACTATCATGGGAAAGAAATATTATGCAACCAGGAAAACAGGCTTGTACTTTCTTTGTGCGATCTTAAAAATAAAACAACTGCAGTACCTAATTTAACAACAGTGGAGCCTCCCGACTCCTGACGAGTGCATGGATCGGAACTATTCGCAAACTGGGTTTTGCTGCAGCCGAACGATAGTTTATTTGTATTACATCAATGTCTGCAACAATGTCCGTAAACTAGTTTTTTTGTTCGGCCAATGCCGAAACCCCAAATAAATTTTAGGCGCGAGTTCGCCCCCGACGGCCTACCATCCCCCATGGCCATCAAGAATTCCTTGTAGGGGGACCTAGTGTCCCACGACGACCTGTCGTGCAGTCCCAGTGGGTGAATCAAACCAAGCTCTTTCAAGAAAGTTTGCACTTCCGGTGCTTGCTGTCTTTAGCCTGCTGTGCAGCATTGGCGGCTTCCTCGAGGTAGTGTATACGTGAAAGGCGCAAGTAAACAACGTAGCCAGCCAAGGGAACGAGTGACCTTGGATGGAAAGACTTCAGAGAACAATTTCGTACCTCATTGCAGCAAACTTTTGCGAATTTTCCTTTGATTCGTTGACGCATAACGTGCAGTTAATAGTAACTTCCGGCCCGACTGTGTTAGCTTATACCCGCCGTATACAGTACTGTCCAGCCGTACAAAAGTGTTATAGTGGTACAAATGTTGCATTTAGCTGTAGACTGCTTCCTTGCAGTATGTGCCGCAATGTTGACACTCCACCTCATCTGTTCAACATCTTCTAAAAATATATTTCCGTGTAAACCAATCAGATCAGCACAGTTTGTCCGTCGGATTCCATATGGACCGCACGTGTTGCGCGTGCCTGCTTAGGTGTTATAACAGCTGGGATGTATCTTTGGAAACGTTAGTCTAAAGTGCAATTTTGCTTCAGTACCGCGTACTTTCGCGCGCTAAAGCGAGCATGGCAGAAACCTCCTAATTGCAGTGATCTGCCAGTGCGATGTAGGATCGCATCACTTGTGCGGCAGCAGTGTGTGCCAGGCTGCAACGCCACACATTATTTTCCTAACTGGCATCATGCTGCAGTATCCTCTTGTTGCCGTCAAAACAGGCCTACATATCGGGTGCTGTATGGATGACGACACGACGTCTTGTGCGAACTACCGTGACTTTGACGATGCATTGTATCAGCACAGTGTGCAGACTCCTAACGACCGTTGGAGTCTGCTTTCTCTACCGCTCTCCGGTCTTTACCGGTGGATCGTATCTCAGGAACTGGACGGTGTATAACGACATCGATTCCGTTCTAGTAACGAGTAAGTTGCAACGGCGTTCAAGAAATAATTTTTGAATGATTTAATTACATTTCAGCTACGCCGGCAGAATTAGAGGACACATTCGAATATCAGCTACCATTCGTCTGCTCCTTCGATCAGCAGGAAGCTCTGCGCTTCTATCCGTCCTATTGTGGGATCGTTCAGGACGAGTTCGAGGATGACTGGAACTGGATTCCCCGTTCTGGAGCACCACCGTTAGCTTTCACTGCGCCAAGCAAAAATTACTATCACGTTCACGAAAAATATTTTTTACAGAACAGCCCACACGGGTCCCCGCAACGACCACTCGCCTTCCGGGCAGGGATACTATTTACACTTTGAAAGCAGCCAACCGGCACAAGAAGGCCAAGTGGCCATTTTCGCCACACCATGGCTGTCGGCTTCGCACGAAAATGTTTGCATCAGTTTCTTCTTCAATATGGAAGGCGACGTCGGGATGGGCTTTCTAGACGTTTTTTTGGACATTACCGGTCAGGTGGATCCGTTGACGGTATTTCAGACGGATGGCGCGCATGGCAAACACTGGCTAGCGTTCTATGAACAAATACGAGTGCCAGTACAGCGCTCCTTTCGAATTCGGTTTATGGCGACAAGGGGCAAGAGCTTCCGCTCTGATGTCGCAATCGACGAGTAGGTCTATGTGCACAGCACGGTGATTTACGTTTTTGGTCTCTTGTATAGTACTCGAATGGAGTCCATTGTATCTTTCCTAATTAAGCGTAATTTGTGCAGCATCGTAGTGAAAGAAGTGCACGATGACGAGTCGTGCGTACCGCTGGCACGTTATCCCAATATCATGGCCGATTCTGTGCTGTTTTGTGATTTGGATTCCGGAAACTGCCCTTTGGAAGCTCTGGCCGAGGAAGCCGATAGCACAATGGATGTTGAAAGGGCATACGTGGAAACCTCGGAGGAAACTTCTCAGTATTCATGGCGTGTCGCCATGGTGGACAAATATAAATTTGGCACTGGACCCGATTTAGGTAAGTATAAGCCATATAGTTTTGTCAAACTTTACAATTTGCTGGTTGCTGGTTTCGCAGTTGGCGTTAAGTAATATAGGGGCATTTAAGGCCTTTTGATCAAGGATTTATGGTTGGGTCAAATTTTGCTAGGTGACCACACTAAAGGCAAACTTGGTCAGTTCTTGCTAGCAGCCAGCGAAGCCGGTCGTCCAGGTAGTTCAGCGCGGGTTAAAATTCCCCTGGAAATGGAGACAGTTGTCAACCGGAGCAATGCATCAAAAAGTGACCTCTGTGTGGAGTTCTATTACATGACCTTTGGGCGGCATTTAGGAGAATTGCGTATTAATATATTTAAGAACGAGATAGAGCACGAGTTTATAACAATAAAACATCCAACGAATCGCGCATGGTATTCCCATGGAAAGGTTCTGCTGAACGCACATCGCAAGGCGAATATGTCGGTGCGTTTATTTGGCATTTAATCTTACGTGATTATCCTATATCGCTTTTACATTTCTGGCCACTAACAATAAATTGGTCCCCTTCTTCTTCTCTGCAGTTGGTAGTCGAAGCCATTCGTGGGCAGTCGAATCTGAGCGATATTGCCGTGGATGATATCCACGTTTATTACTGCACAGCGCAAGATAATCCCACATACGACGTTGCACATGCACATGTGCTTGGTACGTGCTATTACATAAAAATATATTTTATTATTAATGTTGTACAAGAGTATCATGTAGTCCGTAAAACATACCGTCATTACGGAGAAATGGAAACGAGTAACACTTACACTATCAGCCTGGTTGTTATACAGTTTCTAGTCGTTTTTGACTTTCTGCAAAACAGTTTTTAAAAAAAGTCATACAGTTGACGGAATAAATACAAATAATTATTGTTCTGTTTAACAGTTCCGTTATGTCGGAAAGGAGCGGTAGCCTGTCCGGAGAAAGATGGCTGCATGCTTCCTGAATATTTGTGCGATGGCATCCCGCACTGTATTAACGGTTCCGACGAGAAATTTTGTGCTCAACGTAAGTACTGGAACAAACATTTTATTGGAAAAAATATTTCTGTCCACAATTACTAATTGCTAACCATCACGCTTACGTACCGTAGAACTGTTGACAGAATGTGGTGTCCCTTCGATTCCTCCCAGCGAGCTGGTCAGCAAGATCATTTTTGGGCAGACGGTCAGACCCCATTCATGGCCATGGCAGATTGCACTCATTGACAATAGTCAAGAAACTCAGTTTTGCGGAGGTACAGTACTGCTTTCATGAGTGCAGTTTTAAAACTGCACTCCTTTCATTCGCCTTGCTGATTTGTATCCATTTTGAAGTGCTTTTTTAAGCTGTCTGGTCTGACCTTCAGGCTCAATAATCCATCCATTTTGGATTCTTACGGCTGCACATTGTTTAGCCGAGTATTCCACAAAGTATGCCAAAATCTTTTCACTGATATCCGAAACATAATCGCCTTGACAAATACAATTCTAAATATTTCTACACTAGGGAGCATGGCCGGCTCAACAACATGATCGTTCGTGTTGGTGAGCACAATCTACTGCAAAACCTGGAGGCCAGTCAGACTGATTATCAAGCAGCTGGATTATACATGCATCCGGAATTCAACAAGCCTTTGCGTGCTAACGACTTTGGTCTGATTAGACTGCGACAACCCATTCTCTTTAGGAAGGAGGTCCAGGCCGTTTGTCTCCCGTGGTTCTCCTCCACGCCGTTGTCTTCTACGTGTGTCGTCACTGGCTGGGGTCATTCGGCTCTAACCGTCTCCGAGCCGACGGATGAACGCTTTCGCCGGCACCGGCGGAATAAGCGTGGCGCACCTCGGAACAAGCGTGCGGCAACGCGTCTGATTCCCAGCAAATACCTCGCGGGACACCATGGCCATAGTGTTCAAAGAAAGGCTATTCGATCCTTTACGGCATCTAAAGCGCAAGCTGACAGTCAACTGCGACGATTTATGACGGTCTTGACACATCCTACGGATTTACAGCAGCTCTACCTACCGATACTACCAGACGAGGTGTGTCGGAATGCTTCGCAGTATGCAGGAGTGTTGTCGGAATCGATGCTGTGCGCTGGGTAAATAAGCAACTTGTCGAAAGCTACGAGTAACCAAGTATTTGAATTGGTCCTTTAATGCAATACGACTGCGGGTCATTTAACTGAGTCCAGTTGCTAAGGTTCAACCCAGGGTTTAGTGTTACGCTAAAGTTAAAGCAAAATTAACCAATTATCTGACTTATTAACCTCTACCAGGTACATGCAAAGCATGACAGGCGACAGCTGTCACGGTGATTCCGGTGGACCCCTCACTTGTAAGCGGCCGGATGGTTCATGGGAAGTGCACGGGGTAACGAGCTTCGGGAGTCTGCGGTGTGCCGAGGAAGGCCATCCCGGTATCTACTCCCGTGTTGTGCACGCATTGGATTGGATCGTACAAGTGATGGGTGACGACGCGAAGCAGCTTAAGAAGAAACGCAGTGACCACTCTAGCACTATCGACCAGGCACCAGCTCCTGTTTTACATTCGCCGGGGCACGGTTAGGTGCAAAGTCGTCATATTTTTTATTGGCGATCTTACACGATTTGTCAGACTGCCATTCTTTTACGTTTTTTTATATTTTATCTACTTTTATTATCTTGGCTTTCGTTTAATTGTTTCCGAATTTTCTGCTTAATGGTTAGGTGCGATCACTAGTAGACTGTAGCAAAGGCGCAATCTCGTTTTTGTATGAAATGCTTCTCGCAAATATGCACGAGTACTAGTACTATCTGATATCGAACAACATAGTTTCTGCGTTCGATAAGCGCTGTTAATTTGTATGTTGCACGTTCCGGTTTTTTGGCAGTGTAGTTGTCAGATGAAACAGGTTATATATGGTAGCGTGAATTATTTGAGATTCAGTAAACTTCAGTAAATTTTAGTGCACTAGCTGCATCAGAAACCTTGTAAAACTTGTATGAAAAACTTGGCTTCACTTTCCATAATTTATACCATGGACTCAGATTTCGAATTCGAATGTCCTCAGTAGATTTCGAATTTTGGCGTAACGAATACATAATTTTCTTCAGCTGCCCATGCTGGCCAGTAGTCAGTGTAACGTAATGCGATTGCACGCGAAAGACTGCATTGCGCAATTATACACATACATAGTTATTCTTTACCATCCCTTAACTTGGGGATTCATAGGAGATCCAATTGAACAATTGTAGGCTCTGCTGAAATCCTGATTGTTCATGTACGGCCCTAGCACGCGCACTTTTAGAGGTGCATGGACGCTCTGGGTCACCAACAGTTTCAAATAGCTTGTAGTACTGGTCGAACAGGTAGTCTGTAGAAAATTATTGGTAATAAAATTATTTCGTACGGAAATCTGAAAGAACTCACCTGTGCAGCAATAAGCCAAAACAACTGGTCAATGCTTAAGGCTTCTAGTCCTGGTAATTTAATACGGTATCCAGTGCGATCCATAAAAGTGTGGAATGCCTGCAAAGTTACCGCTGCTCAGTTTCTAGTCACAGTCTAGTGATCTACGAGTACATGGCACGCAAAGGCTAAACACCAGATATATATTCTATTAATGCTGATACCTGATAAGCCGCTCTGTATCCTCCATTATCTGCGATGTTTTCGTTTAGCGTGAGTTTCCCATTAATATTTCCGCCGGGTGTACTGATGTTGTTGTAGAACTGGATAAAGTTGTTCTTCTTCTGGACATAATTGCTATGTGTTGCACTGGTCCACCAGTCGGTCGGTTTGCCATCCTTGCCAAAAACCCTCCCTAATTAAATCAACCAATTAATACGAGTAACTATTGTGCCTGTGACACCTTTCTACGAGTACTCGTATAATATTTGGTATTCCTGCGTGTATCGGTTACGGTACACAGAAGATACCGCGACCACGGCAACTCACAGTTACTGTTAACTTACCGGTATAAATGCATCTACGGGGCAGCCATTTTTGTAACAGCATTTTTTGCGGCTTACCTCCGTCATCGAAACCGTGCGTGAACTCGTGGCCAATCATGAAACCTAATCGGGCATAGTTGACGATATCCATATCGCGGTCATAAAATACTGGTGGTTGTAGCATGGATGCAGGTATTACTGCAAAACAGGAACTGGTCAGCCGCACAGAATAGCTAAAACAATCTAAATTATCATGCATAATGTTTTGCATGTTTTGCATGTTTTCTCCAGACGTTGAAGGTTATTCACCCATTCGATTCCTGTCAGGTTGCATTTGGGCATTCACCATAGTTAAATCTTCGGGGTCATACGGATTAGCTCTTCCATCGGTCAGTGTAAGTTTGTTCAGATTCACATAACTCGTACTTTGATCGATGGTTTGTAAGGTTTCGAAGAACGTAGGTTTCACTTGAATCTATGAAAAATGACAACACTACACTTGCAATTTACAATTAAACATGCTAGGAAGAATTTGCACTGCCGCAGTACAATTTTTTTAAAGCGTTTTGGTGTTATAATTACAACCTTACATTTTTGTAAAGTTGATCCAAAATGGTCGAATTCTCTAGGAACTCATGGGGAAAGCCAACCATCTGCAGAACGTTATTGAGTTTTTCCACTGCGGCCAGTTGCGTCGGTCTATCCATCCAAGCTGCTTGCAAGAGTACCGCGTCGCGCATTCCTTGCGATATATCCGATACCAAAGCTTTTGCCTACGATCATCATAAGCTGACCTTGTTGCTACCGGCACATGTATTTGCTCCATATTACGTCACCTTTTGCATAGTTTCTTTAGTAATGTATGCCTTGAAAAACATTTCCGATAAGGTCAGCGGCATTGCCTCTTTAACCAGCGTTAGACAATCAGTAGGATCGCTGTTTCCGGAATATTCTGCTGACATGCGGTCCAGGTAGTGATCAATCGCTTTCCACCAGAGCCAATCCGCTACGATGCGCCTTCCTTTGTCGCCGTCCGCCTCCAGTGCTTCCATCTGCTTGTCGAGATTTTGCACATACGCCAGCATTGTTATGCCCACGGTTGTGTTCGCGGTGGCCACATAATTTACTGACGACGCCCGAAGCATAGCATTAAAAATTTGTACGCAGTTAGCCAAAAATTTTGAGCGATATGGCAGTTTGGAAAAATCTCCAAAGGCAGCACGATAAGAAGTGTTTGTAGCGCCCTTGACGCCCTACAATCCATTTACAAATTAATTTCTAACAAAAACAACAAAAATGGTGCGGAGTGACTTACCAAGGAAAGAACAACCTCGAGTAAGAGGATATTCTCCAATCTACTCTGCACATCCGCCATTTGCACATCTTTCTTACCGGAATCGCGTATTAGTAGTGCAATAGTGTCGTTCCACGGTTTAAACAATGCGGTTTCGGCCGTATGTATGGTGTTGTTACGTTTTTCAGGCAGCTCGTCATCCATCTCTTCATGTCGGCTGAACATCCTTGACCTTTCCAAATGTTTATTCGCCGGCATAATGTACAGGATGTTCTGGTCCGAGGACAAAATGTTCTCGTCCACGTGCAGACTGCTGAACGTCTGTATGTCATTCTTTTGCAGTCGCCCCAAGATCTCATCCAATCGCAAACGGGATGTGTCCGCTTTACTGTCCAAGAGCGACCACCCGCCCATTAGCTCATCGACAATAGCCAATACCACTTGGCCTCCCGGACGCTTATCTGTAACCATGCAGAGTGCATGAACGTGTCACTGTATTTCTCTTTTTCAGTGACAGCACGATTTCTCGAAAATGTTCGATTTCTCAATTTCTCGATTTCACCGTACCTGGCTTCTCTTTATTACACTGATTGTACAGATCCAATGCCTTTTTTTCGGTAGGATTTGCATATTTGCCACTTTCAAACAGCGCTGCAACCATTAATTAGTGACATGATATTTATATTCAGTATTGTAATATTAATTTGTGTATCAATTATTTAGCCCGAGCATGCTGGGATTAGTATCAGTATCAGTACAAGTACACACAAGCATACAGTAACTATATATAATGCTCGTGGTTACAGTACAGTAAATTTTTTTGTGGCTTTTTTAACTTAAGTATACTGTATAATTCCAGTGCAAGAACTTTCACTCAGTTAATTCCATCCGAAGTTTGCCAGTAGCATACAATGTAACTGCCTAGAATGTTTGCCGTTCTGACCTTTCGTTTGATTGGCGATCTTTTTCTTATAAATGCCATATTGACTGTTTGTGTTTTCGCCAGGTAGCAACGGATGGCTAACGTTCCAGCTACGGCATGCGTAATCGAAGAAATCAGTGCATGGATCTGCACTGCTATCCATGTTTGAAATGATAGCACGAGCTGCAAACAGGACATTAATTTTAGCGAATAGTACAGTTTGGTCTCCGTTCTGCCAACCACGACTCTGGTTTACAATATAGTTATATTAATCTCGAGTATTGTTGTCTAACAATAAAGTCAAGGTTCTTGTGCAATCCGTTAGGTAGAATTTTTCTGTTATGTGAAAATGTTGTCTAGTCCGTTTAAGCAGCTTGTCGGAAAACAAAGAAGTAATAGCAGTCACCATACTATTACTTTCCTCCAGATAATTTCCGATACTAGAGGGTTCATCCATACGTACAATAAAATAAATAAAACTGAAAAACAATTTACAATCTGAAGTTATATAAAATGCGTCTTAAAGTGTCACTTTAGTGCCATGCTCCCGCCACTGACAAAGAACTACAAGAAGCGATTTTGTAAGTAATTAATACATGCAATGCTTTGTATCGATTATTGTTACTATGTTTTCATATTATAAAATAAGTATTTCGTTGCCCGTTTATAAAAATTTATTCTGAAAAAATTGTTTGATGTTGTACATACCGACGCGTTGGCATAAATGAGATGTGCAAACGGAAGTTAAATTTTGGCTGTCTATCGCATTTGCATTGACGGTAGTGGCAAGGAAAACAAAGTATCCGGCCACAGACCATAAACCCAGCTGATGCATACGTTGTGTGCGGTATTTTGCTGCAGCCATGATAGCATTACTGAAAAAAATCGGATTTTATGAATGAGTTTTCGTGGTTTTTGATCGGAAAAATTTAGCAGACTCCTACACATCGTGGCATCACTAAAACTTGCATAATCTAATTTTTTATAGTTCTATATCTGCGGGCAAAACCTCGTCTACCGTGATTATTACATACTTGGCAGCAAAACGTTTAGTCATTGATTGCTGTGCCAGCATGCCTTGTCCATGTATCATTCAAAAATACTTGTTCTCATAAATTAATTATAGTCAGTCTCTTAATTGCGTTTGCAGCGGGCAAATGAAAAATCGTTACTAGCTATAATTCAATTGGTGCTACAGAGAGATTGAATGGAATTATGTAAGCAGTGCCCTATTATCGGGACTTCCTTTTTCATGCAGTTTCCAAATCTATGTGCGACTTATATGAAGAGTATTGTATGTCCCGTAAAAATATGTTTTAACTTTTAAGGGAAGTTTCTGGATACATCGTGAACAACAAACGCGTGTACATATGCATGAGCGCATGTTTTCGAGCACTGTCAAACACTTATTTTCGCTTGTCTATGATAAATTATAGCCAAATGATTTGCATACACCGGCATCAAAACCGTATAAGTACGCCCCATCAGGGTTGGACAGTTATGTCCGAAATAAAACCCCAAAAAATTAAAAATTTTGAAGGTACGAAAGTCTCATCATAGACCGATCTGCTTAAAAATTTGCACATAAATCCACAACAATCAGTATGAAGATCGCTTTTATGGCGAACAAAGGTTCTACTCGAGTATTTTTTTCATTTTCAAGATGATTTCAAAAATTTTAAAAATTTGCTTTAAAATTTGAAAAAATGGTGGAACTCAATATGGTTCGGTGCAAAACGTTTTTTATACTGATGCGCATTTATGTACAAAATTTGGAAAAACTCAATCCGTAATCATGAGACTTTTGGTACACATCAATGCATTTCGACTTCTGGGACTTTATTTCACCTATAACTCCCAAAACCGGATGTTGCACGCACAGACAGATTTCACTCAGACGTAGCAAACCATTTGGCTACGTACAGAATATCATAAAACAATGAAAAAGTATTTGGGAGTGCGTAAAAGCGATCGTTGTCGTCCACAAGTACCCGGACTTAGTGCTATGTACTCAGTCAGTTCCCCTAGATGATTAACGAATTAAGATGTATCATTTTACAAAATTAATAATGATATTATCATGCATGATCAGGATCGATTCTATATAGTCGCGGCTCTAGGTAGATTCTGGTAGAATTACCGATCGATCCTATACTCCTAATAATACGTACCTACAAGTACATTCTGTAAATCGTTCTTGCGTAATGAGTACTCCGCTGCTCCAGACAGGAAAACCTGAATTGGGTCCTTTGCAAAAACCACAATATAAGTATCTGTTGTTTGTAACAGACTCTGTTTCAAGTTATGCGTTCCAGCGTACACTGTACGTAATTCTAAATAATATCATTTTTTTGCGCTTGTTTAAGTATAAAATTAGGCAAATATCAGTTCTAAAAGGTCATCGCCATCTCGTTGAGTTAAAATATTGGTTTCGTAGTTTTCATGAAATTCAATATTGTTTGTTTTTCATTGGGAAAGTCAAAATTCCGTTTTAAACCGGAAAATTTTCGGAAGCACTTGGACTGAGCTAAACGTAAAATTGATGACTATCCACTCATGGGCAAAATGATAAACTGTCTATTAACCGCTGGCTGCATAAATACCAACCGTGTTAACCGCGTTTGCCTGCTCGTTTTCTTGCCGCTCCGAAAATATAAACCGGCAGCGCCACCACTGATACATTAACTTGTAATCAAATGCCAAAAGATGAGCGATGACATTTTCAATATTCATTTCCGCTCAGCCGACTATCCAATCTGATAGTCATCTGGGGTTGCATAGCCTCCCTTTCGACATCGTTTTACCACGTCAAAACACTAAACTGACCAACTCGAAAGAATGCATCCACTGCCTAGCCAGTCGATCTTTTTGTAAGTGTACATGTTGTTGCGAATATGTCCAACATGTGAGATGACATGCTCGGCATTTTCTTCTCCACACATGCAAATATTCTATGAATGCACCCCGCCATGCGCTGCTATGACACTAGCGATGTGCCTCATTTTCTTCCCCTTGCCCGTACACGGCACCGGCCATTCTTCCCTTTCCGCACATGCGGGGACATTTTTTCTGTATATGGCGTTTAATAACAGCCCGTAGCTGCAGCACGCACGCTAGGCGATGCTTCATTAGACAATGAACGCGAAATACTTGTGAAACTGGAGTAGCTCGAGCGTCTCCGGTTGAGAGCATATCAGACCACAATCAATTTCTTCGACCGTATCAACTACCAAGTGCAGCTTTCAACAGCACCGGCTAATCCATGTCCTAATGACTTTATTAACGCCGATTACTGAAACCATTAATCCTCTCCCTAATTTTACCTTTTAGATTTTAGGCAATGAATTGCTGTCGCTTGAGCACACTGCGGGTGTGTAATAACGTCATAGTATAATGAGAACAAAGCTGCAGTGTTGAAGATCCAGAGCTTTTATTTATATTAAATTACAATAGCAGGTTTGCAAGAAAACGAAGGGCGTGTTTGCAAAGGAAAAACAGCCATTCAGTACATCCTATAAGTGATTAAATTACGTATATATGATGCCGATAACGACTTGTACAATACTGCTCCTTTTAATAATACACCTTGTACGAGGAACATGCAACCATCGTTTATTTTGAAAGACTAGGTGCACTAGCATCACCTGTCATTGTTCGCTACAGAGTTCGGATTTGTGGATGCCGCTTGCGGGCGATAGAAAGACGTTATGGAACATTTATGTTCATGCGCGCATTTATAAATTAGTCTATAATCGGACGCTTGCTGGAGCACCACGATCAGCAGTAACAGCATTATTTCAGATTCTAGGAGATTCCTCGCTAAACGCGACAAGTCGCTAAGGCTTCCCGTTTGCATGAAACTAACTAGAGGCGTTATTCAAAAGCCTTGATTATCTACATCTAAGCAAAACAGCCAGATTTAAAAAGAAATTCAAAAGCAAAATTCAAAATCTACAGGAACATATTCAAATTAACTGGTGACAATGCTACTAATGTACAAGTACTTGTCACTTCGCGCGCGCAGTCTGGGCGGGACTCCGTTCGTAAGTATAAAGTAAGTATTATTACGCGTATTGATACGATCGTGGTAGTTCGTGTTGCTAGGTCACCATCTGAAAGTTATTAGAAAATTAATGCGATCAAGATAATCAAGTAATAAATCCTAACAAATAATAAAAATCCTAATCCTGTAAAACCCTAACAATAACAACAACAACAACCAAGTAATAAGCTAATGAGATAAACCAAGGAATAAGTAAGTAGAAAAAAACAAAATTATTAAAAACACAATAAGATTCCAACTAATTTAAAAAATTTATCTTATGCAAAGTGCTTTCTTCTTTAATTCATTATTCTGTTCATGTCGGTTTTGTTGCAGCAGCATCAGTGTGCAGTACAAATATGTACTTCTATTGCTTGCATATGCAATCAGTACATTAAATGCGCACGCCGGAAGTTCGCTTGTCCAGAGCCGCTAGAATACGGGTGCGAAAGGCCATCCGTATTGGCACTTCTTGTTACACCCAACCGGCATTTGCACGGCCTGATATCCTCTCCGTACTAACTCGACTGTACAACGAAATCCGAATTTCATTAATGTACGATGGCCCGGCACTCATTTGCCATATTTTACCGCCCATGATCGATTGGGCAATAATACGCGGCTGAAGCTGTGTTCTCTTGTTGTCTCGCCATTCCATTTCCTTTCTAATCAGCCGTTTCAATACGATCCCATATGGTCACAGCACACATATACGCACACCGGAACGCATTTTTCGACGTACAATACTGGATAATCATCCCCATTTCTGGCAGTACGTATATGTGTACACGCGGGACTACACACACTGGCGCTATCGCGTGTCACTTGTGCAAATGTATACATGTGTGTGCACTACGATCGGCTGCGGTGGCTCCTGGATGGTGTTCAAGATCACGAGCGGTCTTTAATAGTATTAGAGTGAATATAAACAAATCATAACGGCGTAGTGTGGCGTAATACGGCGGGGATGGCCTTTAAAGTTAAATAAACTAACGTCCACCGCTTTGCTGCGTGTGATCCTTGTCTTTGCGGTCCTTATCTGTCCACTGCCAGGCTGCCATTTGTTAATACTTACGGCTTAGAAAACGCTACGTGTAGCTGCCGGATTACGCCAGATTTGTTAACATGTGATGTTAAATAGTGTTTTTTTCTTGTCGTTTTCTGCACACACCGCACAGTGAAGATGCACTTCCACTTGACATGCTTATTGCAGTCTGACGCCGCTGGATGATACTCTTATAACCTAACCGCCGCTTTATTGGATTTTATTGCATGCTCACCCTGTAAGTGGACACAGTACTGTACGAGTAAACAGTCGCCATTGATTACCGCTGGGAATTGGTGCTATAGAATTACTGATTTAATGCGGAAACACGTGCCGTTTAATTTATGTTGGTAATAATTTTTCAAACATAATACTTTTGTTCATTTAAAGAAGTCTTGTTTTCATTACCGCAGATCGAAGAAAAATTGGCTTCATCGTGCACTGTGCTTTGTGAACTCAACTTGTGCAGCTAAATTTTAATGAAAACAATAATTCTAATAATACTGCATTAAATTTCAAAACTACTTAAAAAACTTTTTAGCTGACTGAGCGCACAATAATTTATTTTTTTACTGGGAAAATCTATCGAATCGTCCAAGTGGAGCGAATTTTTCCTAACACGATAGCATCTTTGTTGGCAATTTTGACAAGCCAGAAAACATCCTGTAGCGGATGGACTTAAACGATCATTTTTAATCAGAGTCGGCATTTACGCTTCACTTGCACCTCAGCACAAGAAAACATGAATTTGGCAGCTTGGCGTATAAACTATAATGTACTCATCGGCTTGGACATATCAACACGTTATTTACGATTAGTTGCGCATTCCTCGGCACGCACTGGCCAGTTGATTTTACGTGCTTAACGTGGTGCATCCGAAGGAAGTTTATCAGGCGTATTTTATTGTTTGCCTTTAATGACTATTGTTGCTATTTATTTAAGCATAAAAGCGATAGCACTATTTGCAGAGCAGATGTACCGGGCTGCCGGTAACCTGATAGAGAGTGCAAACTGGCGGCGATAACTAAGAAGCATTAAGATTACTTACTACTAACACTCCTGCCGATTTCTTGTGATGTAGTATTTCGGGTGGTTTCTTTTGGTTTTAAGATGCATAATACAGTATTTCTATAATTTTACCGCAGTCTTTTCCTTTTTTTCTTAGAATTTACAGTCCTCTTTCTGTTTAGCTGGCAGTAAAGCAAATTCAAATTCAAATGCACGATGCAAATTAGCAAAACGTGTTGGAAAAGCAACATATTTTAGTGTAGTTTTTTTGTAATTGACCACAGAAGCACGTACCCTGATATAGTGAACCATAAACGACAACATATGAATACGATTAAGTTTTAAAAATGTTCTTGCTTGTGTGAAAATCTAGAAAGTACGCAGTAAGTAACGCTAATACTTATCGACAGACAGAACTAACACAAACCAAGTCTGGAGATGCGTCTACGGGTACATGCAGTTACTGGATGGCTAAAATTAAATGCAACGAACTTTTAATCGGCAATTTATGAAAATAAAATCAACGTAATTCAACTGATATGTCAAAAATATAGAAGGTTTAGAAAAACGGTACCATTTTAATTATACAGAATATCGAAAGTTGAAGCTAACCAGTATCGTATGTTTCATGAGTTGCGTACAGTAAATATAGTACTGCAGCAAATTTCTCTTGCAGGTATTACCTTATTAGTGAGATTAGTCCGTGTCTCTTTCATGACTTGATGAGCGGATCAACACAATGGCAGTGCGTGCCACCCTTCACCAGGATTCCCAGGAGTCCATGCCCCTCAGTGAACGCGCCTTGCTGGACGCGACCTCCATGGTGGACGACGATCCCAACACGTGTACGACCAATTTGAAGACGCCCTCCACCAACACCATCTGCTGTCCGGATACGCAGTCAACACTGGACAATCCCACCGACGCCGATCTGAATAACGGATCCACCTGGACACCCAAGTATGCCAATCCGGCACGAATAGAATTTCATATGCGCCGGCATTCAAAGCGCCAAACCAAATGTTGGAACTACCTAAGCCGGCATCGGACGTTCCTGTTGTCGGTGTTGTTGTGTCTGTTGGCGTGGGTTGTCTTCACCGTGGTCACACTGTACACGGTGGCCCATCTGCAGTCTCAGTGTGGAAGTAACCGGAGTTTCCGGATCACATGTCCAAATGGTACTTCTTTTCCGTACGGATTACATATAATCATATTGTATATAGTTTCAGTTATGCATACAGCTAATAAATTCGTAAACACATATCTCTGAATAACGGCAACTGCAGTTTCTACAATTAATAATGTTAACAGAGTAATAGAAAACTATTTATAATTATTACTTTAAAAACAAGTTTTTTCCCGTTTTGAGATTAAACTTCTACAAGGTTTACTTAGAAATCCTAAGAACGCTTTTAGATGCAATAATAAACAACTACCGCTTGTTTGTAAAGTTCATGTGCCTGCTCAACAAAAATTAATCGAAAATTAATTTCCATTTGTAATAAATTTTTTCTGTAGTAAATTCCTCGTCCATTGATGGCATTGATGATGCCCTTTCCTGTAATTCGTTAACAACCGCACCAGATGCAGCGAAGAATGAATCAGTATGCACAACATTTGAATGTGTCACAACCGGTAAGTTATTTTACAAATGCGAAAATCGAATGCACACAACTCTAGAGACAAGCTAAAAATCAATATCATTTTGTTAGTATGAAGTTAATATTATTTTGTTAGTTTTTTTGTTAGTATGCGGTGCTGTATTTATTATCGCACTGAAAAGTTTTGCGTAAATGTGTCAGCATATACCGTTTCGGGCATCAATAGCTTTCGCGACAGAAATTATTAACGTTTTAAATAGCAGCGGAACGAAATTCATTATTAAAATATTTATTAGTGGTTTACAATAATGGTTCTTTGACCTATGTAAATCAGCTCAAGCAAACAGAAAATTACCGGGCAAATGTGAACAAATTTTTAATATATATTTATATAAGCCGAATTTTGCGGCATATGGTAGTCATCAGATATCTTACGTAATCATTCAAATGAACTGATCCAGATTTTACCCGGCGTGTCTCAACAGCACACAAGGAAAAATGAATATCCCCCAGTGTGAAAGCCATAGTGCGTTACCGCGACAAAATACGCACATAAAATGGAAACACTATCCATGTAATTAAAAATTAGCCCGCTGGGTACACCATCAATAATCGCCACCACTGAGAAATAACCTGCTATTCTATAGTGGTTTATTTTCTGTGTGCGTCTTCCAGCAGCACTGCGCAGATCCCATATAAAATGCGAGTACAATCCACACTAAAGCTGCTTGTTCTTCCTCTACAGTGGGCATACCATATATACACACAGCTGTTGTTGATATGTTCATACTTAAATCCACTTGACAAGTGTTTAAATTGTACCCCCATTGGATGTGATTGCATTCTGAACAAGTTGACCATTTTTCATCCGTGCCGCTGGCCATGGTATCCGCATAATGTCCGTCGGACAGAACTCACAGAAGCACTTTACGCCGGCCCGGTATATACGACTTTGCAGCAGGGATTACCGTTGAGTGCTTTTACAAAATCTGCGCTGGCTTTTTTATTAAAATTTTCAGTGTAGAATTGGAAGTGGCGCAATGGGGCTTCAACAGCTTCTTCAAAACATTATAAATCGGCAATAAAAACACACTCTAAACCTGTTTACCAGGAAGATTTGCACTACTCGTATTTTACTGTTCTTCGTGTTATACTTTTTAATAAGATTTTATAAACCTTTTTTAAATCTTTACTACAATTACTCAGACGATTAAAGCGAAACAGAAAATTGACAAAACTTATGATTGGTGGATCAGAAGCTGATAAAACTTTCTCTCTTGTTAAAATATACTTTTAATTTGGGTTTTACAACATTGGCTGTGAATATGTTTTGAGGCTATCGCTGTGGTATTTGCTGTTTACCAGTGTTAATTCTGAACATAAAAAGACCAGTAAATATTAAAATTTGATCCGTCAACGTTTTCACGCAATGCAAATTAACTCGATTAAATTATGTCCCAGCGCTGCATTCATTCCGACCGACTGCCTTTGTTAGAGCCACAGTTCCATTCTGCCGGTCTACTTTTCAGTTACATTGAGCCTGTCCAGAAAATGTCAGGTTAAATAAACTGTTTTCAATGACACTTTAATAAGCCGTCTGCCATCGATTCAAATGTGAACTAATATACTGTATAGTAGCGTCCAAACAGCGTGGTTGTTCGTATCATGGGTGTCTCTTAAAATTATGGCGTTTCCAACAGCGGCGCGATTGATTTCCGCAATGGACTTCAGTGTGGATCCATGTACGGACTTCTTCAATTACGCCTGCGCCAACTGGAATAAAGAGCACGTTATTCCCGATGATCGCACCAGTATATCAACATTTGAAGTCATGGCCGATAAAGTTCAAGTTCAACTGCGGAGTACGTGCACACTGCTTATCCATAATAATGTACTCTCGTGTCCCGGCATAGTTTTCTAGGTTAATTGCACCAGTTCAGATAAATACAACTTAATATATATATCACAAAAAACTTAATATACTGGCTAAAGAAAACAACCTGTACTTTACGGAAGTTACGAGTATTCTGGAAGCATTTAATTCGTGTTTTATGGCATTACAATAACTTTCTGTTGAGTAAACGAAAAATGTAAGTTTGTTTAAAGTATAGCAGATTTTCTATTGTAATTTTCGAAATCACTCTGGTTAAAAATTTAGCGGTATAAGAACTTTCAAATTTAACTAAATAACTCAGCAGCTGTGACAGATGCATACTTGAGAGAAAATAATAAATATAAAGAAATGCAGGATGCACATTTTGACCAAAACAAAGGTACCCACGGAATTAAACTGCGATTTATGTAAATATGCCACTTTGTATATTTACATCAAAAAGATGTAAAAAAGAAGACGAAAAACCTACACAAAAACTAGATACACAATATCATGGGATGTTTCTAAGGCGCAGTTAGGATTAATTTTTCGGTTTGCAGGATTATTAGAGGAGCCCAATACAAATACCACGTCTCAGTCAATGAGAAAAGCCAAAAAAATGTTTGCGTCTTGTATGAACATTTCTGACATTGAAATGACTGGCGACACACCGTTGCGAAGGATTTTACAAAAATTCGGTAATTGGCCCTTGATGCATAACGAACGGAGAAATCCCTGGAAGGAGCCAACCAACATCACCGTGGAACAGCTGTTGGCGACCATTCACAAAGATCTTAATCTGGTCATTGTTATCGATCAGTGGGTCGGACCGGATGATAAAGACTCGGAAAAGCATATCCTGCAGGTAAAACTTTAAGCGGCTGTCCTTTGGATGTTGTCTTGGCCAAGATGCTTTCCATGGAAAGCAGAAGTGTGTAATTATTTTCGCATGATCAGCATTACTTGGAGATATAATCGTGATACCTTTCTCTTTTTGGTTACCAGCGTAGTCAATGGCCATAACTTAAATGGACTTTAAGCTGACACTTGCCTTGAATGCATTTTTAATAATTTATTTGATAATTTCCCGGCCTTCTCGTAGATCGATCAGCCGGACTTTGCACTTCCCAGTCGGGATCATTACATTAATCCCCAATGGGCCAGTGACCGCGAGGCCTACTTGCAGTACATGATTGACGTGGCGAAAATTCTCGGTGCTTCAGAAAAGTACACTGGAGTGCGAAACCAGTCATTGGACGCTCTGCAAGTTGAAATTTACTTAGCAAACGTAAGGACCGGATAGTTCAAGCCAAGACCATAATTTAATAATTCTTAATTTTGTAATTGGATTGATTTATAATTATACCGCCTCGTCCGCTTGTATTTGATGGAGCGTAAAGTCAGTATATACTGTAGATACTGGTGCAAATACAAAACATGCAAATATATATATATATTAATGCTAACAAACTGGAAGTCGTTTGACAAAATGCCTTCGGGGCTTGAATGGACCTTTCTTACAGTTCACCGAAATTATTAGTTTAGAAGCTTCTGTTAGAATTTAGAAAATGTTCATGGTGCGTTTGGTTCTTAATTCACGTCGTGAATTTCCAAGAACCTTTCCATTTCTACAATATCACGCTTTCAACAGGCCAGTTCACCGGAAGCCGAACGTCAAGCCACCCGCGGGGCCCTTTATAACAAACTCAGTCTGGCCGAGCTGCAGGCGCAAATCCCGCATTTCAACTGGTCGCAGTACTTCGACACCCTTCTGGGTTATCCGTTAAACAGCAGTGAGCCCATTGTCGCCTACGGACTGACCTATTTGAAGGCGGCCACCGCGGCGCTCAAGATCTTCACCAAGCGACAAATCTGGAATTACGCCATGTGGCGGGTGGCAATGGAGTTTGCGCCGCATCTCAGTACGCGTTACCTGGAAGCGCGCGCCAATTTCCATAAAGTGCTGATGGGTGTGTCGCAGCAGCGCGCCAGATGGCAGCAGTGCATCGATTTCGTCAACGATAAAATGGGCATGGCCACCGGCGCGATGTTCATTCGCGAACATTTCCAACCGGAAAGCAAAATCAAGGTATGAATGACCATCCCAAAAACCAATGAAATTATATTTGACGGTACTTACACTAATTTTTGATAGCTTATTAGTGGTAAGCACGTTGTAAGGACGACTGCGTCGTACTCAAAACGTTTTTCTATGCGCGACGAATATTTTCAGTGCATTTTTCTTGAATCTTACGCAGTGTGGTTTTGTATATATACTGTAAATGTTTTGAATTACAACATTCGCATAAAATGCTCATTACGATCAGAATGTTTGGTTTCTTTAAGGCGCTTGAAATGATCCATATGATCCGCGAAGCGTTCCTTGAATTAATGGATGAACAAAAATGGATGGACGACGAGACTGCATCCAAAGCGAAAGAAAAGGTACAGAAAACAATGCGCCTACGGTTTGCCGGCATGAACAAATTTGTTTACGGTAAGTAAAAAGAATTTAACGTTTTGCAGGCCAACCACATGAACGAAAAAATTGGATATCCGGATTTTCTCCTCAACGTGACACAACTCAACGAAGAATACGAAGCGGTACGTTAATCCATGCCGCCATGTCGCTGGTCCAATCTATCTTGATTGCTGGTGCTAGTAAAAAACTTGTGCGACAGATTACGACCTCACTTAAGGATAATTTACTTGTTCTTTACACACTCTTCGACATTTTCTGGTGTTAAGCGTTTAAAGCCGCAGATACGATAAAATTAACTGATGCCATGCCTATATTGCAATTTATGTGCGTTTGACAGCTCGTGGTGGACGACAGCGTCTTTATGATCAATGTAGCTCGATTATTGGCCTTTCAAACGAAGCGCAATTTGGATCGGCTAAAAAAGCCGGTTGACCCTGAACGGTACAAATTAAAACTGTAAAAATGTCATAGAAGTGAAGTGGTTAATATAATGCTTAACGTGTTGTGCGGTTTCGCGTCAAGTGTCGGATGCTATAATCATTGTGTAATTGAATTTTTGTAGGTGGACGACGACCGGGCCGGCCATTGTTAATGCGTTTTACAATCCTAATAAGAATGATATAGGTGAGGAAGATGGTGTGGTTGTTGGGGCAGTTGTTGAAATCAAAACATTTACTCCACGAGCAGAAACGCACAAAGTGAAGGAGTGCTGCACATACATGTAATAGTGTAAGCTGGTTAAGTTTTTTTAAAAAGAGCATGTTTCCAATAAATGAAATGCTTGTTTAATTGTTTTTTTTTTGCTAATTTAAGTGTTTATAAATTTGTTTAACTGTTTGTTTAATGTTTCGCTTATCGCTGACGAGAATCTGCACAAGACGGTAGCTATAGATACCACTTCAAAGAAACTGGCAAATGAGGATTTTTTTCATGATATCACAGCAGGGATTCAGATCATGAGCCAAAAAAGTAACATCTGTTATTCAAACTGAGCGATCCTCTTGAATGAGCCAAATAATTAAGAGTTTATTTAACAATAATGACGGGTGACCTTTAGCTAAAAGAGGTATTATGTATAAGGCTGGATAAAAGAAATAACCCAGCACCATTGTTTTTCATTGAAATGGTTATTGACCTTGATCTAGCCGGTAGCGTGGAAATACTTTGTATTTAAGAAAACGTTTCCAGTAAGTATGAGCAGAAGTTGAAACAAGAATTGTTCACATTTTGAAAACATAAAATGTGCTTCACATCAGTTTTCTGTGGAAAACAGAAAACCAGCTTCGTGAAAAAAAGGTTTTGGTTTTGTTTGCAGTTTTTCCTGCCGGCATTCTGCAACCACCATTTTACAGTGCCATGTATCCACGGTATGTGCAGCCGGAATTGCTGTTACACCATATTGGATAATATTATTTGTAACAACATGGTACGTGCTTTGTAGGTCGATGAATTTTGGGGGTATCACCAAAGCTCCTCACGCCACTCGCTCTGGACTCCTGGTTATTGTTCTGTATTTGCAGGAATCGGAGTCGTGGTCGGTCACGAAATAACTCACGGGTTCGACATGAAAGGTAATCGACCAAGGTGTACAAGTATTATACTATTGTGCATGTACACCGAAAATATGGTGCTGTGTGTAGTGTATCTTATCATCCATGGGTGTATTGCTTTGTTAATGATTGCGAAACAGTAATAAACATTAGCATTGATAATAAAAGCACGCAGGTCGCGCTTGCCTTAATCTGAGTCTTTTAGGCGGTATTAACTTGCTAACGAAAACAACGTTTTCATTTTTTTTTCTTGCAGGCCGACAGTTCGATCGCTATGGGAATCTCAAGGAATGGTGGAATAATGAAACTGCCAAAGCTTTTTATGATAAAGCCGAATGTTTTAAAGAACAGTATGGAAAATACGTGGTGGAGGAAGTCGGATTACATGTATGAATATCGTTCATTGCTGTGACCTTAACAGCCAAATTTTCAGCCGATGCTAACCTTCGGCTTCGTTGGCAGTTATTGATTCTGAGTACGAACACATACTTAACGGCACTTGTTCTTGTAGATTGACGGAAGTCTAACACTAGGGGAAAACATTGCTGACAACGGCGGCCTAAAACAGGCTTACCGGGTACGCACGTTTCATGCAAATGGTACCATCGCTTTCATACCTTCTCAGCAAATCTGATAATCAGAAATTTAAAGTATTTATTTCGCAATTGCTAGAGCGATGACTGAGTTTTGTAGAAATACGTTATAATAACAATAAAAATTGGTGAATCGACAATGGATTTTTGCAGGCTTATCATCGATGGGTGGACCGCAACGGCCCTGAGCCCATGTTGCCCGGATCGAATCTAACACACGATCAGCTGTTCTTTCTGAATTATGCTCAAATCTGGTGCGGCTCAGTGCGCGTCCAAGATGCCATGAACAAAATCTCTGCCTCGGTGCACAGTCCTGGTCCCATACGGTAAACTAAAATATTCATTTTTAAATTTTTACTCGAACTAATACTAATTATCATACTTAACCTGATGTCATAAATAATGTGATAAATGATGTCATAAATCTCAAATTTTTATTTTTTAACCTGATGGCATTATTGCTGCGCCAGTGCTATTTATATATTATGTGCTCCCACATGTACACATCAGTACTTGTACATGTCAGTGCGTAATAATTGACCAACCGAATTGTAATCTTTTATTTTAGAGTTTTGGGCCCATTATCTAATATGGCGGAATTTTCTGCCGCATTCAAATGCAGACCCAACAGTAAATTTAATCCACCACAGAAAGACAAATGCTCTCTGTGGTAACAGCGTCGTACATCTGGACTGAAACATCGGGATTGCGTCGATATACCGGCATGGTGGAACGCACTTTCCTAACGAAGCAGTATCACACTGGAACCAATGAATTCCGTGTTTTGCCGGTATGGGTGTGGGGTGGTGTAGTCCTTTTCACGCGCTAATTTGTACACTGCTAATGCGCAACTTTTTGCCGGATAGTTTTAATTAACAGCATAGCATGCTGGTTTGTGGCGATTTTACAGTGTTACCGCTGTTGTTGTTATTTGTTCGCTTTTTCTATTAGTGATAGCAGATGATGTTTTATGTGGATAGATTAACGATACCGGTAATTAAAATAATATGTAAAGCCAAAAATAGGCGTCAAAATCTGATAAACCGTACGATGGATTAAAGATAAGAAAGTCAAATACAAATAAGGCTTTTGTTACTAACCACTTCGGCGAAAGGAACAAATGCAACAAACAACCTAAAGTTAGCATATTAATTAAAAAAAGCCCACTGCTAGGTAGGTTCTTATTGAACATGGCGGTTATTACCGCAGACACCAAATAATCTTGGTGCAACGAACGAGTAAATCAAAAACGTCATGACCTTTCAATTATAAACTGCACAATCAAAGATTTGCCTGTGAGAAACCTTCATCTACATTACTCAAACAAATCTGCAAAAAAATATTTATGCAACAAAGAAAATGAGGATCATTGACAAAAGGCGAATTTTAACGACGGTATGTCCGTCCTTAACGGTACCCGTGAATCCGTGATGCACGATTGGAGGCAATTACACTAATTACAATATTGTCAAAATGCCCACTAAGGCTTACTTTCTGGGCGAGATTGACGGCTGTCAGACTAAGCAAACGCCGTATGCAAGATGTCTTTCCCATTTACAGCGGAAGTGCCGACCATCCCCATTAGTCGATCATATGTCCGTCTAAAAGCCTCCTGAACGGCCGGAGTCCCTTTGCAGGATGATTTAGCGGCGTCCATCGCGGGATCCGTCGGCTGTTGAATACACAGATACGGTCCCTGCTCGATTGGCTCTTTCACCATAGCCTGCATGTCTTTTTTGCTGATGATTTTCCCACCATCGGTCACCACGATGGCGTTGTTGGTGAAATCGAAATCACTACCATAAAACTTAAGACACTTGAGCAGCAAGTCTCCGAGATTCAAGTTGCGATTGTTGTTACCACGCTGGAGAAAGCCCAGCACCATCAGGGTCAGCACGTAGGAGCTGAAGCCGCCAGAACGAACATCACTGAGGACATTAAGACGGAGCAGATCCTTCAGAATAACCACCAGGGCCACGAGATTTTTGTAGGTTGGCAGCTGCGAGACGATCCAGAGAGATCTTTCCAGTCCATTATGACCAATTTCGTTGTGAGCGCACTAAATATTTAAATGCGTCAATTGAATCACTTCTCACGCGGTAGGGCATGGTTCTTGCCCTTTAATTTTTCTAAATCTTGATTCTTGCATCTGCGTCGTGTAAATCTGTTGATATGTGGCCAGAAACCTGTACAGTCGGGGCTAGTTTCCCCAACAGAAATAATTTAATACAAGCGCTTACCGTAATGATTGATTAAATGTATTTAATCATAGTTAATTGTGGGTGCACATCCCTCCCATTTTCGTGTTTATGGCCATTTGTTGGCTTTCATTGGTTGTTAGTGGCTTTGTTTCCTCAGAGTTGGAGATTCTGAGATGTTTCCTTGTTGCTGGAGAGTTGTGTGCTATGTTGAAATTAGTTTCTGCAGTTTTGGGAAGGGAATTTTTTCGTTGATTTTGTCTACAATGCAAATTGAATGGTATAACTGCTCCTCACAGCAAAAACGCTGTTTCAGCCGTTTACGCGGCCGGTATCTGAATGACCTTTTCCTGACTGCTTGTTTAGGTTATGATAAGGCTTTCGATCATCCTGTTTTCGTTTTGGTTGTTGATGAAAATTAATTTCCATGTCACATAATTTTACAATTCATCGTGGTGTGCCATGTGATTGTTCTTTGTGTAGTGAAGTAGTTACTATTTCTCAAGTTTCTTTTGATCTTCGTGTTCTTTATTCGTCATCGCTTTATGATTCAGTTGGGAGGCGTAGTACGGCTTTTTATATCGTACATCGTTTGTTGCGTCTGGAATTTGCATCTACTGATTTTTCTGATACATCGTTGATTTTGTTGACAAATATTATCGTGTTTTTCGTTCATAACATTTTATCCAGCTATAATGTCTGACACCGAGACTTTATATATGTTGAATTCTTCGGAAGCTGATGAGTTTCCAAGTGAATCTGATGGCCTTGAGTCTGTATCGTCTGAATCATCACGTTCGTCTTCACCGTCAGGTCCACCGGCACTACCATCAGTAATTGAATCTCGTCGAGATTCTTCCAACGCGTCAGTTGCAAAGTCTACTCGTCGCCGGCGTCCTCGTAAGAAAAATGCACATAAGCGTCCAGATCCTGCCATCGTTGCCTTGCAACGGCAACAAAAACTGCTTAGCGATAAGCTCTCATTGGTTCTATCAGGAGCAGGAAGTCAGCACAGCCGTCAGTCACCATCTGTGGTTTTCATGCCACATCCGCCTGCTGATCGGCAGCCTACTACTCACAGAAATATTATCGTTGATGAAGTTCCCTCTGCCTCAAGCGTTCCAGAGTTTCTCCGTCCAGTTTCTGATAAGTTGGTACCGAAACTGCAGGATTTACACGAGTTTATTGATCTCAGTGAATTGTTACCAGAAAACTGCACGTCCAATTCAAAGCCTATCAGACATCATGTCGACAATCGCACCGGGCAGTTGTTGCAGTTGTATACAGCTCGGAAAGCGTCCATCTTTGATCTAGATTCCTGGATGTCAGCTTTCACCACGTTTGCCGCTTACCGCTCCCATTACTTTCCCTATTTGGCGCCTCACTTGTTTCGTTATATGGATGTTATTAGAAATTTGTCAAAAAATTTTGATTCTGCTCTGTGGCTCGAGTACGATTCGCAGTTTCGGCTGCTGATGTCTACTCGCCCGGACAGTTTCTTGATGTGGGGTGAATTGCATAACTCGTTATTCCACGAGTTTGTGCTTATGAAGAGTCGTTCCACTCCCCAGTATCGTTCTGGCCGTGTTGATAACCGCTATGTTGGCCCTTCTACATCACGTCAGGATGCCGGTCGTAACGATGTGCCCTTTCGTGGTGGCCCCGTTTCGGGCGGGGCTGAGCAAGTCTGTTTTGCTTTTAACAACGGGAACTGCAGATATGCCATCTGTCCAGCGGGAAGAAGACACATCTGTCTCATTTGTGATGAGCAACGCCATGGGAAATTTAATTGCCCAAGGCGCCGTGCCTCTAAACCCACCAATTCCATTGCTGCCTCAGACGCCGTTGCGCCGTGAGATCTTTTGTAAGTACCTTGCCGGTTGTCCAGATAAGAAGCTTGTGCACGATTTATTAGCCATTCTCTCTAATGGTGCTGATATTGGGTTTCGCTCTACGCACCACTCTCGCATAACGCCAAATGCTCAGTCTGCCCGCGCCCATGCGGATGTGCTCTCAGCTGCTATACATAAAGAAGTTATGCTTGGCCACACAGTGGGCCCTTTCTCTTATCCCCCTTTTGCTGATTTTGTATGCAGTTCTCTGGGAGTGCGTGAAAAACGCACTGGTGGTCATCGAATTATCCTTGATCTCAGCCGCCCGTCTGGCGACAGCGTTAATGATGGTATATGTAAAGATGATTACTCCTTATCTTATTGCTCAATTGATGACGCAATACGTATTATAGTTCAAATTGGTCCTGCATGCTTTTTGTGTAAACAAGATATTAAGCACGCCTTTCGACTTATTCCTGTACGTAAAGCTGATTACCATCTTTTGGGATTTAAAGTTGGGAAGTATTATTATTTTGATTGTGTATTACCTTTTGGTGCACGTTCATCACCGTTTTTATTTTGCATGTTTTCTCACGCATTGCATTGGATTTTTAGTAACGTTTATAATTTTTATGATTTTGTCCATTATTGTGACGATTTCTTGTTTGTTTTCAAATCTAAGGTTCTTGCTGATCTCTTTATTAATCTGTTTGTTGCATTAGCTGCTGAATTGGGTTTTCCTTTAGCGCTTGATAAAGCAGAAGGGCCATCCACAATCTTACCATTCTTAGGAATTCTAATTAACACTGTTGATCAGACTATTTCACTTCCACCGGGAAAGTTGTTAGAAATCATTCAATTATTAGATTCATGGCTGAATCGTTCTGTGTGTACTCGTAAGGAACTACAAAGTTTAATCGGGAGTTTGCAGTTTGCGTCTCGCTGTGTCCCTGCTGGTAGATTATTCACTCGTCGAATTATCAATCTCCTCCCACACTGTTCGCCTACTGGTAACATCGAGCTAAACGCCGAGTTTTTTGCTGATCTTGATTGGTGGCGTGTGTATTTGCCGAAATGGAATGGTACAACGTCGTTTCTCTGTACAGACTGGATATCAGCCAATGTTATTAATTTGTATACAGATGCATCAGCGTCTATTGGGTTTGGTGCATTTTTTGATGGTCGATGGTTTTGCGCGCGCTGGCCTCAACGTATTCTCTCTAATACACTCTGCATCCAGGTTTTAGAATTGTTTCCCATCTTACTTGCTTGCATTATATGGGGATCATTTTTTCACTGTCGTGGGTTGATATTTCATTGTGACAATCACTCTGTCGTTGATGCCTGGAAGTCTCTTGGTTCTAAGAATCGTGTTGTATTGCATTTGATGCGAAAGATATTAATGACTGCTGCGCTTGGGAATTTTTGTGTGAAAATTGATCATATTGATGGTGTCGATAACAGTATTGCGGATTCCCTTTCACGGTTTCAGTTTGATCGTTTAGGCTCTTGGTACCATGCGCGGCTGTAGAACCCGATCCCATTCCCGATATGTACGACGACCTGTTAATTCTATAGTGGCTCGTCTTATCCTTAATCACGTTTCTCCAGCAACCCGACGTGCCTATACATCAGCAGTTAATCAGTTTGTTAAATTCTGTTGTTCTAAGAAAGTTGAGTTTTGCCCTGCCTCTGTTTCCACCGTGTTGGCGTTTATTGCTTATCAGTTCAGTAAAAATCGTGCATTGTCAACAGTACGTGTGTATTTGGCTGCCATTTCTGATTTACATTGTGTTAATAATCTCCCTAATCCCGTTGATCATCCTTCCTGCACCTATGCTTTTAAAGGATATGCGCGTTTACATGTGCGACCGGCTGATTCCCGTCTTCCTATTACGCCAGACATTCTGATCTTAATTAAATATCAGCTGGTTAAATCCTCTTTTTCGGAGTTTGATAAAATTGTTTATTGGTGTGCTTTTGTATTGACGTTTTGTGGGTTTCTTCGTATTGGTGAGTTGTTGGCATTGAATCGTTCTGATGTTTCTGTTGCCAAGGATTTATCCCTTGTATCTCTTCGATTGTCCCGATGAAAGACTGATCAGTCTAACCGCGGTCGTTGGGTTCATTGCGTGGCTTCATCTGGAGCTGTTTGTCCTGTACGGGCTGTGCGGAAATGTTTGCAGCTTCAGTGTGCACAGTATGGCAGGTTGTTGGTGGATTGTGCACATCGCATCATTTCACGTTCCATGTTCCTGTCCGTTTTACGTTATTGCCTTAGGAATCACCCGGATTCATGCCGGTTTAATACGCATAGTTTTCGAATCGGCGCCGCGACCACAGCGGCTAGGAGGAATGTTCCCTCTTATCGGATCAAGGATGCTGGACGCTGGAAATCGGATTGTTATCAGCGCTATATACGTGACGTTCACGCTAATCCTGTTCTTTTATGAATTTCTTGTTTTTGTTGACAGTAGTGTTTTTCGTTTTGTGGTTGGTTGGTTGCCTGCCGGTTGGTTGGGGGTTGTTGGGGGCTGATGGGCCTGCGCCCAGAAGTCTTCCAGTTCCGGCAACATTATGCTCATTTTTTCATGGTAGACACCCACAATTAATGATTGATTAAATGTATTTAATCATAGTTAATTGTGGGTGCACATCCCTCCCATTTTCGTGTTTATGGCCATTTGTTGGCTTTCATTGGTTGTTAGTGGCTTTGTTTCCTCAGAGTTGGAGATTCTGAGATGTTTCCTTGTTGCTGGAGAGTTGTGTGCTATGTTGAAATTAGTTTCTGCAGTTTTGGGAAGGGAATTTTTTCCCTCCCGCCCATTCCCATTGCATTGTTAAGTTGTTTGGTTGTGTTTGTTACATTCAATTGTATTGCTCATATTGATGGTTGTTTTATTAAAGGGGGGCTGATGGGCCTGCGCCCAGAAGTCTTCCAGTTCCGGCAACATTATGCTCATTTTTTCATGGTAGACACCCACAATTAATGTCCATTTCGATTTGAGTAGCAACGTCGCGAATGATAAGCAGCGGCTCTTTAGCACTTTTGCGGAATTCCACAACTGTGAAACCACAGTCGGGAGTGTTGACGAGGCGACGTCTCAAATTGGCTAGCCATGCGGCCTGATTAAAGCGGTCAGGCGACGCTCTTTTGGGGCGAAGGGAGCGCACAGTGACGGCAACATCAATGTCGCTGGAAGGTAGAAACGTCCCCATTAGAAAACTCCCATACGGCTGAATCGTTCGACGGCCACGACTGCTCTTGGTTTGCAGAAATTTGGTAATGCGCGCAATCGCATCTTCGCGACGTACACGCTCAGTTCCATTGGCATGGATGTTTTTGTAGAATGCATGAATTTCGTCGTGCAGCACCTGCAAAAATGCTGCGTAACTTTTGTCAGGGATACCAGTTGCATTAGGGGAGATGCAGGCATCGTGTATTACAAGAAATACTTAATATATACAGAAAGTTTAACGGCTTGTGGAATTCAGCTAGAGAAAGTATATTTCGTCGAAACAAAATCGTAGAAGGAGAACTAAAGTGCATACAAATCTTGCTACTGGGAGAGCGGCCTTAAAATATTATACAGACTGTGTATAGTTTCCGTTGGCTGTCGCATTATAAGTATGTGCCATGATTTACTAGAAAAATCTAGAAAGGAACTTCTGGAAGCTTGCGTTTCTTTATGTGACCAATAAACAACTTGAGCCAGAGCGAGTGAAGTCATGCCCAAAAATCATACAGGTCATGGCCTCAAATCACGATAGCACGCCGATAAGTAAGTTATGATAATTACGCGAGAGTTCTACATATTTGTGAAATTCTTACTGATAATAATTTTACTTCTGTTATCTTATCATTTTCTTTGTATGTATCAATGAGGCACGTGCAAGAATGACATTTGCAATTGACAGTTTTGAGTAACAGCGAGTTCTCAGTTGTGTAGCTCGCATCACCGGTATCACGAAGTTGAAAAGCGCACTGATTTACGAGTACGTACCTGTTACTCAGTAGACGATTTTTTCTCTGATAAAACGTAATAATAAATAAATATTTTCAAACACAATTTTATTTTATTTTGCAGTCCCGGTTCGATCCAGTCGAAGCCACAATTTGTACACTACCAGAAACCGCAAGCACACGCTTGCCAAAATCACGGAAACATACATCTCCTTGTAACTAGAGAGGAACACCACAAGCTGGGAAAACTACATGGTATACAAAGAAAGATATACCGAAAGGAACAGAAAATATCCTGTGCAGCAGTGTAGAAAAGACACAATACAACCGTCCTGACTAGCGTCCACAATAGTTAGAAAAACACAGAGAGGTCAAACAGTTCAACACAAGGCGTGTCATGGTGCGTCCACACCACGGTCACCACGCATCCGTGTAACGAACATCGCACTCGACCAGCGTCGGCAAACTTTCCTTCAAACTGGCAAACGTTCGGGCCGATAACTGGGTACTGTTCAGATTCAATTTTTTTAGATTTTTCAGCAGTGCCAGCGACTGCAGGCCTTTGTCGGTTACGGGAGTTTCGCACAAATTGAGGACTTGTAGTTTGTGCAGGTGTTCGGTTAACAGCATTAAGCCCGGATCGCCAAACTATAAATATGACAACGTTTTCGTTAATACTCTGTGCACATACTTACTGAATTTGTTAAGCTCTTGTACTGATACTTGCAGGTTCCCAATATTAAATTAAGTTTGTTTAATTAATAAAATTTATGGATTCATAGAACACATTATCATTTACCTGTGTGGACCAAAGATTCAGGTACTTCAAACTAGGAAGCTTAACAAGGTAATCCGCACACGCACTGGTCACTTTGGTAAAGGCCAAACTGAGACATTCCAAATTCCCAAATGAACCACTACTTAGCAATTTTGCGAGATCAGCATCCTGAAATAAATCGAAAAAATAATTTTAAACGCCATGCATGTCGACTTTAAAAGTTGCGACCACAGATAACGTTAACCTATGCCTTCAACGCCATAAACTGTGTGTTATAGTGCACAGTCCAACCGCAACCGGATTTTCCGTGTTTTTGTTAGTTTCTTACTGTCGATTTGGAAGGCAGCGTTAATTTCCTTGGTCCACCTTTTTGTTGTAATTCCCTAAGCGCAATCTGTCGTTCACACAGGGCGGCGTATTTATGTTTGCCCGACGGTGTACTCTGCAGTGTGCTGATAATCTGCAGCTGATAATCCCGATCCTTCTCCACATCCAGCTCCAGGATGGCACAAAGTGTATCCTGACAGGCGTCATTCTCACGCAGGGCCATCAGCAGGCAGGGCGCCCGGATGCGGTCTAATTGGCTACTCAGGAAGTTCTTCCGTCGACAACAACAACCCATCAATCGCCGCAACTGCAAACCAATCCCGACCGTCATCGACACTGATCAATTGCGTAATTACACGTACGGTAATTAGAGGATGCTGTCTATGCCTGTCTTCTCAAGTTAATAAATTACTGTTCCTTCCGGATGCTGGGTGTTTTTTACGGTGTGCAATTAAATCGTAGTAAATTGTAAACGAAATTATCCCTGTTTACTAGCTGGTTATTGCGTAAGTAAGCTCAAATGACAAACAGCTTTCCCGCTAAAGTCCAAGAAATTCCATAAATAAATAGAAAGCCAAAATATGTGGAAAAGTTAGCAATGTAAATTTTGTGGCATTGTACTTGCAGAATGGATAAATATTCTAAAGCAAATCGAAAACTACAGAAGGCACTGATTGCACCATCACTCAAGCTACACTTTTAGGCCGTTTAGGGGGCAATATAAAAATTCTTTTTAAAAATTCGTACTGTACGCTTATTTTCATTTAAGATAACACTTACGACTTCGGTAAACAGAAGTCCTTCGCTCTCTCCAATATTACTGGCCGGTCCGCCGGGCGCATACAGATGGAACCAGCCATCCTTATGTTCCCGCACGCCCAACACACACGAGTGCACTTCGCATCGCGCATCCGTCCCGATATTCCGTATCACACCGGCAAATTCTTCCGTGAAACGGTCGCTACTTATCGCTCTGCCAACAGAAATACCGCTTTGTCCGTTACCAAGCAGTCCGTTACAAAATTCAAACTGTTTCAAGTAAAGAGAAAATGCATCCCGGTTGCTTATCAAAAGCGAAATTATAGTGATTTTACGATCAAAATTAACATATCCCTGCATATTACACCGGCGAGCAATTTTGTAAATGGTCGACTGAAATGATGTCAAGGACTGTTCAGTTTAATGGAAAAAAGATGTAGAGTAACCAGGCTTTTTCTTCTGACTACAGCTATTGTGGCATCACTCACTCTCCGGGAAAGGGAATCGGTTGTAACAACTGCGCCAGTGACACCCGCCAATCTTCAAAGGAACTGATCTCCAGGAAGACGGCAATAAAGCAGGCAATACGTGATTGGAATTCCATACCGGAACGTAATACTTCATTCTTATCGTCGTATGTGCAGTTTTGGTCCTCAAACAGATAATGGACGGCAGCCACGCTGACGGATACAAGATTAGGCAGAACCCGCGGATGGGGACACGTACTCGACAGCCCGTGCATACTGCAAATAGAAGAAATCTTTGCATTACTTATTACATCAAACGTACGATATACATATAATAAGAGCACCACACATTACTGTATATCTTCGTGTCTTGTCAATTACGGCGTTCGGTTGATTGCATTTACAACAAGAGCGAAGCACTAAAATGTTAAGTTTCAGCTTACAGAAGCAAAATTAATGGTAGTACAATTTACCTACATATGATTATATGTCCAAGCAAATGTATTCAAAATAAATTTGATTCAAAATAAGTAAATGCTCAATAACTGCTGTATGTTGCTATAACAATTTTTTACTGAAACATCACAATTTTTGCTGTACAGAGTGCAAAGGAATTTTTTACGCGGAAATATTATTGATTTGCGGCAGGTATCCAGAATTTCATCGGCAAAGGACGACACGATGGCAGTGTGATTTTCCGCAGCAGGTCTATTATTTAACCATGAGATATTGATCGTAACTGCTCTTTAGCATGAGCCGGCGTGTGATTTCCCGTGTGTTGGGGAATGCCACAGCTCCGTAAAACCGGCTGGTGATCCCAGCACGTAACTTACTTCCGAATAAAATCCTTTACAGCCTTCAGCCCCTCGTTGTGACAGTTGAGTGCCAGAAAGTAATCTTGAATAAAGACGCGCATTTTCGGATTATTCCCGAAATCCTGCAGCGTAAGCAACAAAACTTTAATTTTAGCCGAGCACCCCGCATACATCACGTGCGGTTAGACACAATATGCATTCATGGATAGGTGCAAGTAAGTACTGTAAGTACAAACAAGTATCACACAGTGCACGCTTTACACTGATCTACTCAACCTAATACCTCATTTGCAATTAAGTCATTTTTTAGCAGATAAAGCGAAAACCCAACGCATTGTTTGATATTCTGTGCTGGCACCAAATCTGATATAATTACTATGTCACACTGAAGTATTTATTTAACTACAATGAACATAAGGATACAACTATTAGGTTTTGTTGTCGGATACCTGTGTGTTACGTTAATAATAAGTTAAAATAACTAAGTACTCGTAACCAGCTGCTGGTCCCACTAATACTACATAGAAAATATATGTACGTATTACGGTAACGTAAGTATTGAAGTAGGCAATCGTTCTCCTTTATTTGTCCCGCTTATAAAATTTGCGCGCACAGTAATGAATTATTAAAAGTGTACTCTTCCCTTTCCACGTACCATGTTGTGCTTGAGAATTCTCCGAACGACCGGTGTCATCTGATCCATAATAATACTTGAGCGGGGACATTCTTTACAGAACTGCAAAGCAGACGTCGACGATGTAATGTACCAGCGGCAACATGAACATGTGAAAGTATTTGCATTATTCAGCGTTGTTAATCCATCCCCGAGTTTAATAATGTTTGATTAGGATGATGCGTTACCGCCGCAGCTAGCAAATGGGTCGGACGGGCCCTGACATGACGGGGCCGGAAATGCTCTGTACAAATGTCGATCTTGCTGAGCAGGCGCGGTGCGCCCTCAACATAATTCCGGCTAAAAATATGCCCGGCTTTATGTTCACGTAAATCAATGGAGGCAAACGAGGTTAGAAACAGAGAATGTGCCGGAAAGAGTGTATTCTGATACTGTGCAGGGGTCAGCGGAAACCAATTTTCACAACAGATGCTGCAGATGGGATCAAAGAATGAGGTAAATTTGCAAACCTGTGTTAACATTTTTTGCGTCCTTTTATTTTTGCATTGTTCATACAAACAGCACCAAAGAATGCAATATATTGGAAATTTTACGCATGTTCATAGTTTATTTATCATATGCAGAGGTCCAAACTTTCCGGGCATCACAATTGTTCTGGATGAATCGTTTGGTTTAATGTTTCGGTACTGCTTCCGCTGGGGAAAATTCGATATTACTTTATCGTTGGTACGCGTTGCGAGTCTTGTCGATAACAATTCAGAACAAATTACGGAATTCGTCATAAATAAGTCTACTGTAACTAGAGGAATTTATTTTCCTACCCGACTGTAGAACTCGGATACGTCAGCGGTGGGATGGCTGTTCTCCAACAGAGGTGACAAGGCCACAATAATCTCCTGACTCAATTGTACATCCAGCTGATTTGTCGTCATCTGCTTCTGGAGGAACTCGGAAATAATATCCAATGGCGTCTGATAGATGGCTTCATCTTGAAGGGGCGTTGTGCTGACGAGATCGATCATACTGCGGATCTCCTTCAATACCACTTCCGCCCGACTACTGTTCAGGAGGATTTTGCGGTATTTGAAGAAGGCCCGCTTCCACTGCAGAGAGTTACACCATTGATCGCGGATGTAACTGTTGGCTACCTGTAATTAAATTCCTGTCAAACTTTACTAACCAACTATACAGCACTGCGAGTGTAATACTATCCAATAATCCGTAATTTAACGGAACGTTTAGGAAATTACAGTAATTAAGCGCCTGAAGAGGAGGAGGCAATTATAAACCACACCTAGCAAGAAAAATCGTAAGATACAGAAAATTCTTATTACTTGTAACAACACGGAGCCATCGGGGATCACAATCCTTATGCAGTATTTCTCTCCGGCATCCCAGCGGGAAACGGCATGGATTTCTTCTATTTGAGCATAGGGTACAGCTTGTTCCATGAAACCGTTGGGCTGTAATGATCACGCAAAACGAACTTATTAATTAATAAAAGTACAAGTACAATAAAAGCAGTCACATTTTCGGAAGCTAATTTTCAACAAAAAATCCCTGATTTTGTGCTTGAACCAATTTTGTATGCCGTAATTTGCTACCCTTCCCCAGTTTAATTACATGACAATTTTTTGCCATCGCTGCTAACTTTATATGCGCAAAAGTTACGTAATAAAAAGGTTTCCCTGTAGTGGTTATAACTTCCAAGTGGTAACGGTTTCCCTATTGACTTTTCCAGAAGAGCGTCATTTTATTGGGGATGGTACACGTGTTAAGTGGGAAAAGAAAGTGTAAGAATTCCAGTCGTGCCGAATGGAGGAATTTTTCGCTGCGTCGAGCGTGCTATCACGTCCAATAAGCAGATCAGTTTAAACAATTTGTTACGTGCCGGTCAATGATCGAGAACATGTCGATGACGCACGTCGCTGCCATCGTAATCATCCATTTACACAAATTACGGCCCTCATAACTTATCTTGACTAAAATTAAATCTGTTTAACGACCATCATCCACCTCACAAAATGAGCCACATGCTCCATTTTGTGATATTTCCAGTGGAGCATATGTTACTAATATCGCGCTACCGTTAAAAACAGGCACGTCCGCAGTATTAATTGTTGCGTACCATTTTCAACCAATTAAATTTCTGATTTTTTCATGCTAATCAAGTAATCAGTAATCCCAGAACGCTGCGTTCTGAATTAGACCACGAGAAAAACATCAACAAAAACCAGACAGCGGCTTAAATCTAGGTTAAAACAGCGGTAACCGTGACACGGTAAACAGGAAAAACTGCATACAGAATAAAGGTTTCATCTGAAGCCTGTTTTATTATTTCTCTCACAAAACAATCCTAGTAAATCAATTAAAATTTGCTATTTACCGAAATAACATCACGAGGACAAAATTTCCCGCTTTTTTAATCAAGAAATGATTCACTTGTATTTGTTCTATCTCGGTGTAATAATACACGAAACATCCTGTTATGAATAATGATCAGTGCGATTTTTGCAGCATATTCCAAATGGTTTGCGTCAGAAAAATGCAGCCAAGTCAACGAGCTTTTAATACAGGTTCATGCACCGGACTTCCGTTTACGCAAATTTTCTTGTCATGCTTCACTTCCACTACTGACTTCACGAATGTTTAAAAATACATGGTATTTTCCGTGGGAAAACACTTAATTTGTTTGCACACACAAATTAAGTAAAGTGTACGATTAATTTCTTATTCTAGAATTGTTGATTAAATTGGCTCAAATCTCTTATCTTACTGGTTAGCATTTTGTGCACGTCGTGAACGTCTTTTATAATAAAACAAAGTAATCAGCCAGACCAGTTACGTCTCATCATATTGTCGCTTCGTCTATAAACTAAAACATGTGCAGTTGTACATGTAAACCTGTTATTAATAATTGATAATATGTATTAAATCGGTATACGGCATTGATTATTGTTAGCGAACCGTTACTATAATTATTAATTCAACTCTTGTAACATTGGGGGCTTTCACCTGACTCTCAAAAGTATGACTTTACCCAAGTTTCGACTCGTATTGTTAATTGTTTAGTATTGTGTCAAATCCATCAAATAAATCAGCTGCTGCTTGTGAAGCGGAAGCAAAAGCCGAATGTGGTCCGCACGCACAGCCGGTTGTTAGAAACGAACGCCAACGGAACCGGCAGCCTGCCATACGTGATAAAAAAGACTACACACAATCATGTAGGGATCAAATTCATCCTGTAGATGGCGATCCAATTAAGGTGAACGTCTCTCCATGGCTGCACACGCTCTCGCGCCTGAATCATTAGGTAAGCCAACCCGAAAATTGACCTTTCCCACGCTCAGAGGACACTCCAAAGAACACGCATTCGCATCGTCGCGATGTGAATGCGTGCATGCATGGTCTGACATTTTTTACTCCCAGCTGATCAATATTTGGTCACAGCGTAGAAAATACCGAAATGTATCTAATTTCCGTCAAGTACACAGTCAAATGAATTGCGCAGCGTACACTGTGGCTGGAAGGGTCATTTTTAGGGGTTATTCGTGTCTGGAGGATATTGGGTTATTACGTAGCAGGTATCACTTACGTAGCACAATACTCGAATGTCTCGTGCCATGAAATTTTATCGTTTTATACAGAAAATAAGTGATTAGCGTATTATTCTGCTGGCTGATGTCTATCAATCACGACTGGAGCATTGTATCTCTTGCTGTTGCTATAAAGTATACCTATAGTACTTACGAGGTACCAACACTAGTACTAGTGTTTTCGGATACAAAAGTGCGAAACATAACCGTCAAGAAATGACGATATTAAAAAACGCTGCATTCCACTGGATATATAACTGGTAAAAATACTTTACAAGGAAGCATAAGACAATAATAATGGTGAAATGAGCACAGTAATATAGATTGTGAAAAGTCTGATTGTTTACAATTCACATTTTCGGTTCTCTGCTGGATCGACGAAAACGAACTTCTAAATTGTATAAAAGCGTAGAACATACCAGACCAATACGGAACCTAATTTTTTATAACAAAAATCTAGTTTGCTAATGGAATTCGACTGCAGTTCAATCTACCTAAACTACTGCATAGTTGTATGGACCCCTTACCTGTTTGGAATAAATCTGATCTTCCGCCAGTATCAGCCGATGCGTCTCCCATCTCCGCAAATACTTGGATGACAGAATCTTGCTGATAAGCGTGCGCGCATGGTTCAACCGGCACACACTAATCTCGCCCTCATGCACCAGCTTGTACTTGGCCCCCGAGCCCCGATGGACAGTGGGCGGGGTGGGCGGGGCCGGCGACGTCAACGGAACAATCCCCGAATCACTACTCCAGCCTTTGCGCAACAACTGCCGTCGGAGCGAAGTGCAACGCGGCGAAGCCGTCACCTCCGTATCACTCTCGCCGCCGTCCCCGCCGCTCAGCAGCCGGGCACTGGGCTGGCTCTCCTCGTCGATCTCCTGCGAGGACCGCGAGGTGGCCGACGGACTTGACAGCGCCGTTTCCGACTGATCACAGTCGGCATCCAGACCGCTGTCCGTCGAGCGGGTGGTGTTAGCGTCCGCCGGCGACTGGATGCAGAGCTTCGCGGCCGGCAGAAGGAGATGGTTGGCGGCATGCCGCAGGGCGGGCACCGGGGAGCGGGCGGAAGACGGGAGATCGATGACGGCGACGTCTGTGCATTTCGTTGTCTCCGTATTGTTGGCGCCGCAGACTTTGTCTAAGGAAGATGTGGAGTCGGACGTACTAATACAGTTCCACGAGCGTTTTATCGATGTAAATGTAGAGGACATGGCTTTTTTCCTAATCCTTATGTGTCGGCAATCAATCGCGGATCAGATATCCATCATCCTGAATGGGAAAAAATTCCACCGGTTAAACAGACTATCAACCATTCCAACTGCTATCGGCTATCTTACGCCGAATATCGCAGTAGTTTACCTATCTTATCGCTGCTGCGCACATTTCGCTTAATAGGCGGCTATAAAAGTCGTACGCGAGTGACTGTGTCAGTGCAGCGTAAGCGGAACTTATACACAAGTACGCGCGCTTCATGCGACACATGCGCAATGTTTTCAACCGCGGTGGTTGTATATGTATGTTCCCGAGAAAGTGGATGTGGCTGCAGCATGTGCGCTACGACGGAAACGCATTAGTTTCCAGCTGTCAATTCACAGTAATGTAGGTCAATTTATGGCCAAGACAAAAGGTTGAAATAACATTTCCCGAATCTGAATAATTTCCTCTCCGCGACGTTGGCAATTAGAGCGGCGCGCACTAGTGCGCATCGGCCAGCTTGCTTAAGTCAATCCCGAGAATCGTTTATGTTTCCGTTGTTCTCAAAGCCTGGAAAAATCTATTTGCGCTGAAGTAATTAATCCCGCTCGCCAGAATCCATGGAGATCCGATTCAATGAGCGCATAACAAAAACAATCTGCCTATTTTGTAAAATGGCACAGCTGTCTGCATACATTTAAAGGGCGATCGCGTTGCGACACGAATAAAAAGTGGATCACTTGATGATATGATCCGTACTTCGCGCTTGACGTATCCTGCTTGTGCTCACAAATTATGTTTTTTCCGAAATTACAGTTTAACTTAAATAACAGTACTTCTAGTTTTTTCAAAATTAGCTGTGAGAGCTTGTAGTAAATGTTTCGCGAAATATCGGGAAAAAAATAAAGTTCTCAGCCAGAAAAAAAGCGGAAATAAATATCCTGTATCAACTACTGAACTTTTTCCGTTCGGTCAAAGTGCTATCTGGTTTCTTGAGAAAAAAGTCCCGGTTGCTTCCGACAGTCATCCGCAAGGTAGCGGCAAATGTTAGGCGGCAATTACATCACAACTCACATAACCGCAAGAGAGTCGGTTTTGTAATATGTAACTGTAGCAGTGCAAATAATGGCGTAATTCCCAATGAAATACTACCGCATGATAATTCCTTATTCCCTGTATTATTCTGTTGGCAAGGCACAATCCACCTCCAATCAACACAAGTTTTTCTTGTGTTGATTGGAGGACCTGTTGATTGATTGTTGACTACAACAGCCGCGCAGTTTTACTATATTACCTGATGGTAATAAACACCTTCCACCATCGAGATATAATGCGCACAATAAATACGTTTAACATCCAATACAGTTTACGGCTTTCGGTAATTATGGCAATTTGTCAGTTTTCCATGCGAATTTCGCATTGCAAAGTAAACACAGTACTCTGTATTCGTTAAATGCTGCAGAATTCTAATAATAATCAATGCGGTTATTCCACGGCAGCTTGCTGCTCAACGGATTGTGCAGTAGCAAATGATCCGAAGTCCTTCCATGTAATCAGTTCTTATTGACCGGCGATAAAAAGCATAATCAAAGGGAGATTATCAATTTCGCAAATTTATATTTATATATTTATAATTCCGCACAATAACGCCGGTTGTTCGTTCGACACGGACGTCACCAGTTCAGCTTATATAATTACGAGTATTATTACATTTTTAATTAAGCACTGACGGAAGTGAAAATTGCGAAAATAAATTCGCACACACAGAACAAGGTTGGCGGAAATGTACAGAAAATAAACTTGAGCTTGTTTTAAAGTCACAGCAGAAGCGTGCAAAAAAACGGCCACAGACCCGCAAAAATGTGCACAACTCTGCATAATAAAACAAGCATCTTATAGCCAACAGCGACGTTTCTCTCTCTCAACTTGTCGACTATTTACGTCACTACAACTCACCAGCTAAGATGGACCTGTCATGTAGTTGCAACGTGCCAGCCGTTTAGAATGTGCGAATACGCCGAAGGAGTACACAGTTGTATAAAATATAAATTCCGAAACCGCCGATCACAGCACAAAATGTTTCATGTATCTACACGACACACGCACCGGGGCATACATTCATAATTTCACATACATATGCATTATACAGTACCATCGCGCGGCGAATTAAACGCTGCCGCAATGGCCAGTGTAATCATTAAACGCCAATTAGACAATACAGCCACCGTTCACACCGTTCCCCGCGAAGCCGCAGCGTTGACGTCGTATGACATAATCAGAAGACACACTGTAAAAGGGGGTTGTCGTCGTGCGTTCTCGTATTTCCTCCAGGACGGATATCTGTGTAAAAGGTTAAGGCAAGGCCTTTATTATCTGTCGGCTGTATAACAGAGATTCCGATCAAAAGGGACACGGAAGGTTAGATGGGATCGCAGAGTTACGGAGAGTGTAGTTAATGTACTGTGTGTGAATATGTGTGCAGGTTAAGGAAGAAGGGATGTGCGTTAGCCAACCGTTCGGGGCGCGCGATCGAGTCGATACCCTGTGCGTTAATGACGGCGAGGAGCACATGCGCGCGCGGCTGGCACAGAAGGAGGAAAGCAATGGGCTGTGGGTACAGATACGGTAGATTGTTGTAGACCCCAGTGTGCCGCTTGTCGATGTATGTAGCTCTTTAATCCGGGCAGCATCGATTTCCTCTCGGCAGCGCCGGCGACTGCCATGGCGCGGTGTGCCGAAGCTGTGCGCGCGTCACAGCGGCTGGCTGCCAGAGTAATTTAAGTAATGTTCAGTTTTTTACAAACAGCGGAGAAAGCACCGCTATTGTCAAACACCCTGCTTTAGCGGTACTCTGTGGTTTTCATGCCGGTAATATGTGGTGGCTAGAAACCAGGTGCATCATCAAGTCGAATGTATTGTCCCCGACCGGAAGTAGGTTTTCGAAATGTTTTCGTATTTTTTATTCTTTTCATTGTTGTATTGCTATGCAATGGAGTTTTACCAGCAAATAGCTTTTTTTCTAGAATGTTTCTGTGTTGCATCCACTGGGTCATACGCTTGCTTGACTTCCGAGCGCGAGCCCGCTCCAAGTGTTTTATGCAACGCACAGAGTCGGGCCACATGCAGAGTACTCGTACATACACAAGCATCTATAGATGCTTCGAATACGCGATTAATAAGGCATCCACATTTGAAAATTTGACATTTTTTATGCCGCTCAGGCTTTACCTTTTAACATTCGGGTTATACTACTTACGACATCCGTGGATGTAATGCAAATAAGTATTAATTAGTAATTTTTAGTAATAATGACGCTAACGGCGACCAGGCACTTTCTAATGGACACTGGCTACATCAAAAGATGGGCCGCTCCAAATAAGTTCAAGCTGAGAAATCGTTCTATATAAAACGCAATTCCAATGGTTGTGGAATGTAGAAAATCATTATTAGGATAAGAAGCAAGTGCAAAATTAATAACACACAGATAGAAAATAAGAAATCAGCTTCCCGAAGCACGCACAAGAAAATTACTCAGTCGCTCATAAAAACTGCATGGCGCGTTCTCGTACTTTACATGAAGCCGAAAAAGTGTCTGCGACTGCTTTGTAAAACTGCTATTATGTGGCCTGGTACTAACAATAAAACCCAGTACGAGTAATGATGTAAAATCAGAAATATTTTATAATTAAGTCAAATACCGCTCTAATGTGGTGAATTAGAGCGAACAGTATTAATATTCTCCACCTGCATGGTCCGCATTTATACTTAATTATTTGGCACATATCCCTTGTTAACGTTCATCGCCTACCGAGCAGTTCATTCAAAATTAATACGTTATGCACGTAATTATATCAATTTATATGATTGGTAGATCTTACGTCAAAAACAGCGTCTTTGTACAATAGTCAGAATTTTACGTTATTATTTGATGTATGTATATGGCTATATGCATACAGCCACAACAACGGCACACAACAATAATATAATTATAAAATTGTATTGCACGAACGTACCGTACGGCGTACCGTACACTCTAACGGCTCTGTATTACAAAGCATATAACGGCTCTGTATTACAAAGCTCTGTATTACAAAGCTCTGTAATTTATAACGGCTCTGTATTACAAAGCACTGCTAGAATTATTTAGATCAAAGCAAATCGCCATTGACTGCGATTACAAACGATCCCATAATTTCCAAAACAGACAACCGAGGAGAACAAGCGTTAACATAATTATGTCGGATTAAAACCTGAACATCCGTAATGTTTACAGGGCGTAATGCTTTGCCACTTTATATGTAAACCTAGACTGAGTTTTCACTGCGAATATTTCTGAACACTTGAAATTATTTTTTTATAATCGCATAGATATGCTACTGCATTTATTCCGTTTTGACACAGCAAAAAAGTATGAATTGTTTTCTGCTGCGGTAATTTTGCTTCGTTCTGTATGTAAACTTGTTCTTAACACACAGTCTATCGATTGCAGTATGCTAGTGCCAATCTATAATTACTTTTCCGTCTCCTGCAGCGCACCCATCCGATTCACCAGGCTGGTCAGTGTCCTGAACCATATATCTCATTTTACAGTGAATTCGCTATCCGTCCCATATTCCTCTTCTGCTAAGTTGCCAACATATTCCCACGCTGCGCTTTAGCCGACGCGATCCAACTGCACTACCGCTGCTGCTAAACTGAATCGAGTACGTAAGACCCTAATGCATTTCTGGGCCACATCTCCCTCTTTCTTGCTCTCTTTTTCTCCCTAACAATATTGTGCAACACCGTTTTCTACACACATAAGCACAATAGGGCTCCTCTCTGCAAATATCGTACGATATCGACCCAAACTGCCACCAGTCTGCGTATATACGTAGTGAATATTTCCGGCTTCCGTTCCTCGTTCCTCTCGGAATATTCCCGTCTCCATCGATTCCGGTAGAGGACATCAATATAACTTGGCGCACACATACCTACCAAACATTCTCAAATTATCCTGCTCATCTCATATGCATCATCCGCCCGGGACGTCACCGTGACGTCAGTGGCCATCCGGATTGGTGGGGCGGATTTTCCGGTAACAGTGATCTATCATGTGTACGCCATCGGATCAGCTTACAAGTGATATTGCTCCAAATATAATGTATCTGTCCCACAAAGGTGTGGTAGATGATAGCGTAAACAAACAGTTCTGTTGACGGTGCAGTAGATTACGCATTCCATAGGACGACCACAACAGTTAACCTTACCGTGTATCTAGCGAATTGTTATACGTACCATTCCCCGAGCTGGGATCACTGGGGAATATCGTGTACATTTAGCACACAATCACTCTTATTATCCCTGGCTGCCATTTGGGTATCGATATCCGTGTTGGCAAATTATTCATCGAGTCATCACGAGACTGGGGTTCGCATCGACCTATTGGGTATAGCGCGAGGCAAGCCTCGCAGATCGGCGGCTTGGATTAAAGGTCATCACTAAATACAGTTGGATTAAGGCAATTTACCAATCGGAGCGGAAATCCGAGTACGGAAATGATCAAATAACTTGCGAAAAAGTGGCTGCATTTTAATTTGCTGATACGAAACGGACTTCCTGTTATTAGCCCTTAATCAGATGAATGCGTATCGGTAAATGTAACATAAACTATAATACGAGGTCAACTAGGTACATATCAAAGTAATTGCACATAGATTAAAGTACATTATATAGAGTACAATGGAATCACCCTAAAAAGTTATCAAAAGTTATCAAAATATATGTTAGTAAAATTAATTATGCTTCAGCAACAGTTACATCGCTTACAACAATTTCTGGCAGGTTGTTTTCGAACGTCCTATAAACTGATTTTGTGCGGAACACGTATAGAGCTTAGTATGCACTTAGAAAAATAGTAAGCAGGCAGTATTAATATGTGACATAAAAATTACCATCTGCCACGCTGGACAAAATCTTTGATAACTTGCAGTGTTGATCAATGATGGTGTACAGCAGTTCCATTGTTGCGAGTACTTTGATACATTCGCAAAGTTCTATAGTAATATCTATATTACACTGCATAATAGAAGTACATTTAAGTACAATACATCTGTACTACTACCCTGTATCGTACAGATACAGTTTACATCCGCCGCTTTATCTGCTTTTACTCTTGGCTTTAATTCTCGTAATTCTGACACTGAAATACAAAAGAAAATAAAACAGGGTCCAAAGACCCCAAACATATCCTGTCTTTTCAGGCCAACAAAATCAGTTTAGGGTTGAGATCCCACAAATAGAACGCAACGAGAAAGTTAGTCCAACGCCAAAGACGCTGTACGGACCTTGAATAGACAACAAAGAGCTGTGCTATTGTGTTTGGCAGTCGATGCTTTATGTCGGTATCTCTCCGCTATGGTGACATTGATCGACGCAAAGGTTCTGTAAACATTGACAAAGAATACACCTGAAGGTCTCTACTTTCTCTAAAGGTACTTTTCGCAAATGCGAATAGAAAGGGGAAACACTCATTCGGGAACACAGCTGTAATGGCCAACATTGCACTGCCACAATATATATAAAGCGCATCTTGAATAATTTCCAGCAACGTACGATTGAGAACTAGAGAAGAGCTGAAATTGTGAAAGTTTACGCTTTAGTGTTTTGCGTTCTTGAAATACCCGGAGTAACTTACTGACCTTAATTGACAATTAGAAGGCGCTTTTAATATCATAGGATATGGATAGCTATTGTTTGGCAAGATTTCATTTTGCGACCGTAATGCCTTTAATACTTTTGATCCTGACCAGATTGTGCCGGTATTCTCAAGGAGCAGCAGTAAGTCAGTCGATGGTGTCAATCAGTTGCACCACAAGACCATATTATCGTACACTACTCGTATAAGGATACCTACTGTTCACAATCAGGATTATTCAAATTTTCGTCTTAAATCACATTTCCGTCCAAAAATGTGCCTAAGTAAGCCCCTTACCAAAGTACCAGTGTGTCTTTACAAAATATGCGCCAGTTCTGGCCGAGCGATCTTTTGTTTTGCGCGGAGACCTGCTCGATATCAGAGCGTTTATCCTCCGATCGACCCGTGAAAACGTTTTCCAGTTTTTCTGGACTGCTGGAGCACATTTTTAAGAGTTGCAAGGTTTTGTTGCAATTATATCTTCCAACGCACTAGGCAGTTGTTGGCGTTCAACCTGCACCCACTGCTCGAAGGCATAAAGATATTGATTCAAATAACCTTTGATCTAATTTGCACGGCCTCTACATTATAAGTACGAACAAAACAATTAATTTGTAGACGGTTGGATTCGCCGCAGCCCCTTTTGTCCCACAAGCGCCGGTAGTGGTGACCGCTGCACCGGCGCCAGCCGCGCCCACACCGGAACCCGTGAGTTACATCGGCTTGGGGAATAGTATTACGTTAAGCGGTATCAGTGGTTACGGCGGCGGTTTCGGTGGTGGTTTCGGTGGTTACGGCGGTTACGGTGGATACGGCGGCGGGGGTAACAGTGTGTGCTGGGGCGGTGTGTGCTACAACAGCGGCAGCTACAACTACGGCCAGAATGGCTATTCTGCCGTGCCCTTGACGTGCAATAGTGGAGCCTGTTTTCCCAACAACGTCAACTTTAACAATCCGAGCGGTGGAAATTATTCGTATTATCCCAACAATAACAATTACGCTATCTGCACAACGAATGGATTGTGCTTTTTCAGTAATAACAATAACAATGGTCAGTACAATAATTATAATAGCGGCTCATCATCGTCATCTTCAAGCTCAACAAGTAGTACAAGCACAAACACGGGTGGTACGTGTTTCTTTACTGGAGTCATTTGTTATAATTCCGGCAAAAAGAAATAAACACAGTACGCTGCCGTTGTGTTGTTTTGGTCTTATAACAATGATTATTTTTATTTATTTTTTACCTATTCTTTAGAAAGATCAATCTCCGCTCTTTCTCTGCTCCACAATAATAACGTAAAAAGATGACGATATAACGTAAAGTACTTAGTATTATCTACGTGGTCGATGTGCGTACTACGTACGTTGAAAACAATAACTTGAATCGATCTCAAACTCCGAGTGGTGCACATGTCGCACAAGGTTTCGGCATGGCTGCAGCAAAAATGGCGGGAAGGGCTGGATTTCCTTGTCCGCTTCGGCAGGCTGGTAAACCCGTGGTGCTGGGAAGGTTGCCAACCAATTTCATGTCCGCGTACGATCGGCACATCGGCGCTAAAACACTGTTCACTACATTCTGAATGTAGTTTTTCTGCACAGTAGTCAATAGCGTGGGTTGAATGCGGGTGAAAACCCAAAAACTGGAGTCCTGGCAGATATTGTTTGTCGGTACCGGGAAGTCGTTGCAGATGAAGACAATTTCTACTAGTTTGTAATCGTTGAATAGTGTCGTAAAGGTCAAGTTATCTGAAATACGCTATGTATTATCGCATATACATGTAAACAATGCTGAACATTAAAATATGTTTTAAAATTAGGTCATACACAGATAGTATGTAGGACCTTACATATTTCCGTATCGGTAGCGGAAAACAATGTCATCACAGTGCGTTTCCCATCTGCAGTAACATTTCCTTGCTGCCACAACCCGCCGCAACTGTATCCGTTCCCGCCTGTGTTTGGCGTGTAGAAATTCAGCCACCATGTAGCATGGTACGAGTTTGTCCCGGGATATAAGCCACGAATGGTAACGTTGTTGAACCCGTTATAAATGGCCTCTTCAAAGTTAACCATGTATTCGAACCATATTCCTTCTACCTGACAGATATCAACAGCATGATTAGTACTTATAGCAAATACACAAACAGCAAGTTGGTGGGCAAAAATTGCAGCCTCTATTGTTATAATTATATTACGGACCGGGAATAAGTTTATCCCAGATTGACGCTTAATTGGTCAAAAGTCAGACACATCGACAAAAACTACATTACAATAGCTGATTTGACAAGATACGCATTTGAAGGATGGAAAGGTATTTTGTCTGCGCTTTGCACTTTGCACGTTTAAAAAATAACTTCTCAACAAATAAGATACTGCAGATAAAATATCCTAAATGTCCAGTGGTAACTTGCCCGTGAAATATCCAGTTTCTGTCCTCTAACTTTATAAGGCACATTGCAGCCATTGGCTGGCTGGCAGTCACATAATTTTCGTAAAAGCAAAATCGGAAGACAAATAATAACTCCCTGGATAGCGTGCATTTCTCCTCAAATTACCGGCAAATGCACGGGCGTAAAGTATACTAACAAAAGCGCGATGGGGCTAATTCAGCATGCAGTTTATACGAATCTACCGCTTAGCATGTTGTAAAATAAACGCTGATCACTTTCAAATAAATAACGTTGCACTAAAATAATTTCTGCTGCACAGCACTTCTATCTGCACAGGTAGGTACAGTACACATATGGTACGCCAGCGCCGCTCTACATTAGTATAGCTACGCCAGTAGCCTATACTACTGTAGAGCGGCACTGGGTACGGTATGATGTGTGAATGTACCCCTGTCAAATGATCTGGAAATGTGACGCAAATCGTTAGGTTTTGAAGTGTTTCCATGAATTCTTGCACAAAATTGTTCGCAAATTGCAAATTTTTCGTTTCGATTCGTGTAACATGACCGTCTTCGAAACTCCAAAGGAGACACCTTATGGCTGGCTCTCTTAATGTTTGCTGTATTGTCGACCTCTGTGCGGTAAGTCGGTAGTGAGATCTACTGTAGTGAATTGATGATTGCTTATTTACTAAAGTTGCGTACTACCTACAGACTGTACGGTGTATTGCAGTGGGAAGGTCAAACGAATGGTGCGTGTGGGGAGTGTATGTAGAAGTACTTTTATTTATTTTTATTAATCCCTAGAAGTTATCCCTCGTATTTTATTCGATTAATTAGTATTCAATTCCGCGTACACATACATGCAGAGTACGTGATCAAAGTGACATTGACTTGCTCTGTGTCGTTACCGATTAAAGTTTCGCAGGAGAAAAATAAATTATTAAATCACCTTGACGAATTAATAACTGTATCTATAACTGCATGTAAAACAATACATATTAATATTTATTTCAAATTCTTGAGTAATTTTAATTATCGTACACCGCTATGGGCTAGCTAACCACCATCTTTAGTGCACACACAGTGTATTTACAATGTACGTAAATAAAATTATACAGATTTTGCCCACACAGTTGTGTTGCATGTGAAAACAGGAAGATATTGTAAGCCATTAAATGGCATCCATGTTTTCCAGTGACAAAATTTTTGTCACTGGAAAACATGGACAAGCAAATCTGTATAAATTCCTTTGAAAGATATGCTCGCAATTTAACGATGTATATTATATGCCAACAGGAGTACAGACTTTAGGCATAGCCGCAGCAAAAATAGCCGGAAACGCTGGGCTTCCTTGTCCACTATTACACGGCGGTAAATTGGCGGATGGCGTGTTCCCAACTAACTTCATATCCGCAAAGGATCGGCACATTGGTTTGAGAATATCATTGACGGTATTCTGAATATACGTTTTCTGCACATCTGTCAAGAGTGTTGGCTGAATTCTCACAAACACCCAAAAACTGGGATCCCGACAGATGTTATCAGTTGGAACAGGGAAGTCATTGCAGGTGTACACTATCTCCAACACGTTGTAATCATTGAACAACGTCGTGAATGTGAGGTTGACTACAAAGACGGTGCTGTTAAAATAAATAAAACTGTTCATTTTTTAACATACGAGAATATCATGGACGTATCCGGATTAAGTGTTCGTACATAATTCGGTGTCAGTGGCAGCAAACAGCGTCATCACGTGACGCTTTCCATCCACGGTTAGGTTGCCTTGCTGCCACAGCCCGCCACATGTTAGACCGTTTCCCGCCGCGTTGGTCGTGTAGAAGTTCAACCAAAAAGTGGCGAAATACGATCCAGAACACGAAGAATTCGTTCCCGGATATGTGCCACGAATGGTGACGTTGTTAATCCCGTTGTACAAAACTTCGTCAAAACTCACCATGTATTCATACCATAATCCTGCGGCCTAAACAAAGCATTGAATCTCAGGCCGTGGATGCTAATTGTAGATCATTGACTAATTAAATAAGTGCAATCTTTCTTATTTTTGAAACTACTGCACGATTGACTGGTTTGCAATTGGGGCTATATACGTAGAAGTCTGCGATTTACCAAGAAGATAATTATTTTTCAGATTCGCAGATATTTTGCGTGGTTTCGTATTAATAATATTAATAAGGCAATGCAATACAGGTTTTGCAAGACATTCACGTTCCCTCTAATTTTCATTTTATTCCGTTCTTACCCGGTAAACGTCCAACGTCTGCCCGTTGACATTGTACGGTATACTGCAGTTGGCAGTGCCAGACAAGGTTATCTGACCAAATCCATTTTGCCCTAAAAACGGTGCAATAACTGCGAAAACGAAGAATCGCCGCGATGCGTCCATTACAAATGATTAAGTTCACTTCACTTGGAGGTTACTATTTCTTCCCAGTTAATAACACATTACATAACAGAAGTGGACATTATTTTCTGCAACAGGTGGTTCCTTTTAGTCACCCTGTCATCTGCAGACATTTTAATTTACGTGCGCATGTTCTGAATGCATTTTTTACACAGCGATCCGTTTCGCATATACAGCGGTTATGTTCGACTCATTCTTTTAGATAAATTCTGCCGAACTCAACAAGGCCATTGAAATCTGTGTCAAGAAGTTAACAAAAGTTGTCGGGTGTTCAAAGCAGTATTTGCTCACCATCCGGTTATGAAAAAATGTTTTTGGTCTTTTATATATGGAGATTATATTACGTGTCCTGGCGAAGTACAGTATTTGAAGTTATACAAACGTTAGGTAAACAGCATACGTATTTTATTTATTTCTGACTTAACCGGCTAGATAAAGTAGGCATTAAGTTTTCATGCTAACACAAGTGTTTAAATGCTTATACCGTAATAACACGTACATTAATGTCAAAATCCCACAGCTGCACCATGGTTAAGAAGAATGCTGCACATGTTGATTGTGTTGAAAGGAGGGAAAAAACCACCAATATTAGATTTCCAGCTTTCGGCTGTCGCCGTTGCCAAAACAAGCTTGAGTTTGCGCGTGTGGGTATTCGTGCCTAACCAATATTAACTTGCAGTAGCGTTCTTTGGTGCTCTCCCAGTACCGTAGCCGGGGTTCACCGGCAGTTAATGATTTTGTTTTCGCATCACGACGAGCCACTACGTCGCTAGGAGGATAGATACACTTCTATTCTTGCATTCCCCGGTCGGACCTAATTCTAATATGTACTAGATTCCGGAGTTTGGCACAGCAGTGATTTGCATTAAAAATTAAGGGGAATATAATAACCCATTACATCGTGCTAAAAATATTTGAACTTTGCAAATGTACCTTTTGCTGGATTCCGATCAAAACGAGCAACTTAATGCTCTTAATGCGTTAATCATTTTTGCGCGTGTCTGTGAGTACTATCCCATACTATCCCAATGAGTACTATCCCATACCATATTTCTAATAAAGGATTTTGGTGTATAATGCCGTTTCGATTGAGTTTGAACTGCTTTATAGTTTTGAAATGCAAGTTTCCGACGTTTTTATTTCATCGCGGAGCAAAAGCCCCATAAAATCGACTAAACACCATCCCAACAGCAGCAGATCAATATATTTTGGCAGTTCTTAACAAAAGGCAGTTTAACGACAGCTAAAAATTCTCGCTAAAGCATTTAGCAGTAAGTATCAAAAAGTGCAGGTATTTTAGTGCTTTTTAATTTCTAATATTAACTCCGTTAAGTTGAGGCTGAAAATTTAAATGAATCCCTTCTTGCCAGCAGCAGCTTTCGGCTTAGGGGCGGCTTTCTTCTGGGCCGGTTGGGCAGCCATGATCTGTGGCGCACCGACGCCGGGGGGAACGTAGTCAGCGGGGGGAGTGTCGAAGAGGGGCTTGTCAGTGTACAGGCGGGAGTTGGCAAAGTCTTCAACTTGCGGTGACCTACAATCGCAAATGGGAGTTGACAACATGTACATGCAGCTTCAAAGCACTCGGTGACCTTAGGCCTCTTTACTGTAATCTGCGGCCGGTCTACGTTGTCGGAAATTATAACGCAAAGAATACGGCTAATTTAATATCTTACTTCTCGCAGTCGACATTGAAGAAATAGTCGCAGACGAGCGTGATCTGGTTGAAGACGGTCATGTTCAGGCACAGATAGCTGGTGTGGTTTCCGTTAATATCACATCGGTGGAAAACCTGGCACTGGGTGGAAACATCAGCATAGAAACCTGGCTGCTTCTTGGCGGAGCAGTCGAAGTTCTGGGCGGAGGCTGGGATGGCGGCAAGAGTGGGGTACTGGTTCTGGTCCCGGTTGGCCAGGATGGCCTGCACTTCCGCGGCATTCAGTGCTGGCTTCAGCAGGTCCCACACGTACTGCTGGCTAGCCACGAAACCGATCAGACTGATCAACAGGATGGCCTTCATGGTTACGGTCTGGAGGTTAACTGTGAATATTCCACTTAACTATACAAGACGTTCAGAAAGTTGGATAGGCGTAGAATATTGTTGGTTATGGGTGCCACTGGAGATTATATATGCCAGTGGTTCAGTATAACATTATGAATCAGCACAAGAATCGCTTGAGTCCCGGGGCAATTCCTTCCTTCGCTACCCATGTTGCAGCTTTATGGTTCGGCATGAGCCGCGTTCGTGATAGTTCTACCGCTATACGGGTCCCTAGATGAAGTTTCTGGGTTGGACGAGGAAACCTGTTAAGGTGAGTTAAAACGTGGTTACATAAGTATGAGCGCTGTTCGAAGTCAATGATGTGTCGGTCGGCTTATGTAATATCTTCCATAAACCTTTGCATTAAACAGATGATTTAAAAGTTGTTTAGAGTAATCAAGGATTTATTGCAAGCTGTCATTCCGTACTGCATTTATTCAGAAGCGTCGCTCGGGGGTGAAATAATTTCATTAACCAAGTAAGCCTGCATCTCCGACGCTGCTACAGTTTATAACCTTTTGCCATTGCCGTTTAACCATAAAAATCTCATGGCTTAGTTTGCGTTTGGCTGCCAACTCGTTGAACAATTTCTTAAGATTCACTTAACTGTTTTCGAAAAATCAATTAGAGAATACTCAGAATAGTAGATCTTCTGTTTTGTCGATAATTTGGGCAGAAACGACTATTTTAGGAAAGTCAAAAAATCCAGCACATTTTATTGTTTAAAGAATTAATAAGGATAATTTTACATAACCTTGCAGCGTATTGAGCAAATGGTCAGATCAGGAAAATTCATGGTCTCAGCACGCCGGTACGAATCACAGCCTTAGGAATAGTAAGGATTTTTTTTAGCGAGGACTAGTAAGGACTTTTTTAAGCGTGTGTCACAGATTTGCTTTGCTGAAATCTTCATTACTGAATATTGAGCCTAATTAATGAGTATTCGCTTGAAAACTGGATTAGCCGGTACACGCTGCACCAATTTTTATTCTGAAGGTTGTCCGGACCGCAGTGTTTACCGGTAATTCTTCTGAAACTTGTTCATTAGTAGCGCGCCCACAAAATGCTGCAGGGAATCATTGACCTTTCTCCAAGCTAATGGATTCAACAACAGATTTCCTCGGATTAGCAGACACTTTTTTGTATAAACTTCTCGCTTTTCTAAATATTCCAAACCAAAAAAGTAGTGTATTCAAAATCAAAACGTAGTTAGAAACCCTCACAATCGTGTTTCCGCCAAGTTCTATGGAAGTAAAGAGAAAATAAAACATAAAGACATAAAGATAAACATAAAGAGAAAATAAATCAACGTAAAGAGAAAATATAAACATAAAGAGAAAATAAATCAAATTCTCTAAATCGGATGCAAATTTAGATCTGTAGTTCTACCTGTACGTTTATAGACCATTTTTCTCGTGATGAATAAGGTTGTCTCATCCGTCAAAAAAAGCAATGGCTTTAAAATAAAGGTACATACGACAGACGATACTATCGATATGTATTCATGCATCTGTCGATAAGTAATTTGTACAGTATCTGTACATTTTCAAGCATAATGCTGACAGAGTGACTGGAATCTTTTAAATTTATTGTTAGTGTAAAAATTTATCCTCACGATTACATACGCATGTAGTACTATAAGCCTAAGTAACTAAATGTACTGGTTTTGTTTTTTTACACACTTAAGGATAGTCACAGTTCTAAAGACAAGTATTACGGGGTAACGATTTTTCAGGTACAAAATATTTGCAGTAATCAACAGGTCATACAAGTAAGTAATTTACTTCGCACTGTACTCGCAATTCTACTTATCATAATTATATTAGAATAATGATAAAATAATTTAATTGGGTTCCGCCTGTAACTGGTTTATGCATATGCACTGCTATCGGCGATCGTACCGGGAAACGCAAGCAGTAAAAAAATTTTGATTACGCCAGAATATGCAGTAAATGTTCGTAGTCGATCATATTGCTGGCAACGCGTCGCACACACAGCTGCACCGGTAATGCACGCACGCTTAATAACACAGGCACCGGTAATGTATTTGGCAGTTGGCATAATCATATACGTTTGCCTAAGAAAACAAAATATTTTCACCATTTTTTGATCATGTATTTTTAAGCATTTTACCAATATTTTAATTGCAAGGTAGGTGCTATAATAGCAATCGTGAGGGTGTGTTCGAGAAATTTTTCAACCAATTTGCTTTGATCTGCTTTTTACAGTTTACTATCTAACCCTTGGAAAAAGAGTATCCACACAGCACCTATTTTTAAAGAGTACCTCGGACGAACATGACTATTAATTCACGTGTGAAGTTCCTCGATCAACATTAAACGACAACGACAATTAGCCCTGAAACAAGAGTTTTCCGCTTAGCGTCACACGCAGAAAAGCCGGTGGACCGAGCAGACACACAAATCTCGTATATTCGATCTGTTACTGAATATGTGCTTTGTATTACAAGCCGCTCACCCAAGGAAAGCTACTTTCGATTATCGTGATCCCGTTCCCAGCTTGTTAGTCAGTTTGTTACGCCACTTCCAGGGAAACTCTCGCGTAATTTACGTGTCAATATTCCTTTTACAACGCCGTTCCGTAACAAAAGTGTCATTACTCCGCATCAGATAATGGCGATCTGATATGGCTGCGAGATGATAGGTGCAGTGTTGTGCTCGTGCGTAAAATAATTGGTTGGATTGATGCCGCTGCGATTGAGGAGCAGTTGTCGGGTAATATTAACTATGACTCTCCCATAGTTTGTCAAGAATAACGTTTCCGGTATGGTTAGCCAATGTGTGAACTGATCAGCACTGCCAGATTGTCAGATTTACAGGAGTTTGTTGACTGCAGTTTTGATACGTTGTATTTCGCCATCGGTGTCCTGTTGATGGCAACAGCATTAGGCCTAGGTACTTTGAAAATAGCTGTTTATGTAAATCCGGTGAATAAATTTCGTAGATTTGCACGGTACCACCGTAATATGTCGGTGATTTTAATCATATTAGAAATTATACAAGTGTTCTTTAAGTTTATTACACTGAGAAAGTTTGTTTTCGTAGTTTTGGTGACATAAAACAAATGCGCACTAGCGTAAATAAAACATGATCTCGTTGACTGTTACCGTTGTGTTGTACTGTTGCCGGTGGGTAGTTATCTTACGAACTGGTCAGAACACTAATGGATTTCGGAGGCTGCAGAATGCAAACTCCCCAAAATTCATACAGCACACAATTCCTTCCCTTTTGGTTATAAATTATACTAGTGCATAATGCAAGAATATTAATGTTAGCATTAGCTCGGTTATGCGCAGATCTACGGTAAGCTTTAGCTCGGATCTAGACTAGTCAACATATAATTGTGTACTTATTTTTTGTCATAATAATATAGAAGTATACATTACCGGTGATATATTGACTTAATAAAAGACTCAACACTCACACACAAAACACCACTCTCGAGGTCTAAATGTTGACAGCACGTATCCTTTTACAAGGAATAGAAGACCATCATCGTAACATTAACTCTGACTATCATCCTTACACAATCCTTGTCAAAAAGTTGCCGGGAATCCCATGATCAAGTGCTAAACACTCACCCTCCACACGCATTTTAGGGTGCTGTACCGTGCTGCCCGTTAAGCACATGTCAAATTCAGTTCCCTAAAATCGTTCAGATCGCGTTCGATCAAAACCCTTTTTGCGTTTTAAACGTTGAAAATTTTTCGTTTAAATCGTTTAAATTTTTCGTTTCGTTTTCGTTTAAACGTTTTAAACGTTGAATTCTTAGTTTTGGTATAAACGCAGTGGATGAATTTAAAAAATTTGGAGAATGCTAAACCCACAACCCACACGGATAGTCCACTGCACCGATTGACAAAATAATACACCGGATAGTTCGGATCACAGCTGGAAATACTCGTAAAAGTGGCATATCAATACATGTACTCTAGATCGCTTAACGGGCGTATCTGCACCTTCTATACCATGTGCAACACTGTCTTGAAATAATCAATACCGAACAACCCTCGTCTCCATATATAAAACTTATTTCGCCCAACAATGCGGCACTTTACTGCGGCCATGCCGCCTGCACTCCCGCCACGGGACCGAGACGATTTGAAGGTCACCATACCGGCATCCTGACTTTGAATGTCGGTGTCGCTTCATTATTAAGCACCGTGATTGTCCTCCGCGCATCCTAGACGACAAACGTAGTTTCATTATAAATCCCATCTAGCTCCAAAATCAAACTTACCCCAGGATGACAACAGCCTGGAGTTTTCCCGTCGGTCTACTGTGCCCGGTATTTCTGACGTATTTTATACCGTTTGCTTCTGGTGACTCTACGTCCGACATGCTTCCTCAAGAAATTCCACGTCTGATGTACTTCCGGAGTCCCTAAACTATGATGAATTCATGGCGCTCTTGCAAGCCTTCCATGCCACAATCAACAGTACGGAGCTGGATGATCGGGATCTGTCGCGGTTTATAGCCGCACAATTGGCTATGGTGACTAACGTCCCCACCGACATGCAGCCGGCATCCGCTGACCACAATGACCTGAGTCTATCGTTTCGCGTCACTGCCACCATACTACAGTCGGCCATCTTCCTGCTGGGCGTGGTAGGCAATGTGATGTTTGTCGTTGTGGCCCATATGTCGGATTTACTGCTGAATTATCCCATGTACACGTACCTGGTAAGTGTTGACGGCGTGCCAGCGATTAGCGCTGAATCCCAATCAAATACCCTGGGAGGTTGATATTGCAACGGCCTCAAGAGGGTTGTAGAGCTGCACGCTGGGTGCTAATTATTGGGATGGCGGTGCTTATGTCGACGGGCTTACTTACGCAGTAGAAGTATCCTTAGTACCGTACGTTCGGCATGTACACATATGTCGACGGAGACATTTTTGAGACTAAATTTTCTCCATGCGTTGCAGTACAAAAGTCGCTATGAGTACAAATACCTTTTTCTTACGTTTCTGCTTTGGTTGCGTAAAAGGGACAGGTGTACTGCAAAAGTTGCATGCAAACGGAAGTGCGGAGTACATTTTAGAAGATTGGCGAAAATTTACCTTTCAGACGATAGTAAGCGATGTGTGCGATATTACAAAACATGAGACAAAATTTTGACACTTTCAAATTCCAAGTAACACATGCACTGAGCTGCATCCCTGCATGCGGGATTGAGGATTTCCAAAAGTCAAAACAGACGACTGGAGTTTTTGACCACCGCTCAAGCGCACTTAACTGGGTTTAAAGAACGGTCTTCCATTAGTCTTGATTGTAGGAAATGGAGACGATTACTGCTAAACTACGAGTACAGTAAGATTTTATTGTAAGGACCGTCAGTTTTAAAAGGATGCAAATCCTTTAATGGAGATAGCAAGTTATGGCATACAATATTAATTGTTTGCTCGGTTCTGCGCACGACTGGTTGCACCCTTTACCAAGATTTACTAACGGTGTCCTCGCCCTTGGCACTCCTTGGTGTTTGGTAATAGTTTATAAATTCGCCGTATGACGTAGGTGTACTGTCCAGTTTCATTACTTACATAAGCTACTAGGCCATTAATCTTACACAACTCCACCGATTTAGAGTTTCCCCTTGAGAACGTACAAAACAGTCAACAACTCCTACATCTCGAATTATTAGCTGCATATCTGTAATTATTGTGGTACACTGATGCTAAATCAAGTATCCAGAAATCGATATTTCCGATCGTTAACTCAACATTTGTTTGTGTAATCAGTAATTTATCTGATATTCATATGGTCTGTAAGAAAGTGGTGGTTGTACTCCTCAATTTTTGGTCAAGCCAGCTGAATTCATTGCACAGCCAAGCAGACAGTTCTAAATTGTTCGTATGAATTTTGTTATCATAGACTTGTTGTACAGCGCATTTTAATTTTCCCCATTTGAAATCGCGTAAGTTTGATGCGATCTACCGAGATTCGAGTGAACTTGTACGCCAAATGATAACAGCATTACTTTTGATAAAAGGCTTCCGAAGCCGGAGTATCTGCGGATAGTCTGCTGTTATTATGGTTCACGTATACGAATACTAACTCGTAAGCTCCGGATATGTGGCATTTTAAAGCGCGCCAAAGCTCCTAAAATGGCAAAGGATTCATAATTATATTAATTATAATACCTTATTTGACTTATGCTGCAGTTAAAAATAAACCGAAATTGATAAATGTAATGTACATTGCTGCTATACATACACGCGCGCCGAGCTGACGACCCTGTTTAGCAGAATGACATGAGTGCTGCTGTGTACAGGAGATCTGTTTGGGTGCAATATGCAAAAAGTCTCAGTTCATGAACCGTGACCTTTATCGCAGTCCCTCTTTTAGATTGCAACAGGTGCAGTTTCAATTATTTCGAAATTGGAAAACTATTTTTTTTTGCAGTTGCCTGTTGCACACACGTATGGTTTGTGGGTGGATACACATTTGTTACGACTCCATAGCAGAACGCAATCATTACGCAGTTACGAATGTTGACAAAAACGAACAGTACGGATATATTTGTAGAAAGGTCAGAACTGTTATTGGTCAGACGAATGTTTCTTGAGCGGTAAGGCACGCATCGTCCAGCCTGGCCACGTGTACACTAACGTTATAATAAGCTTAATAATCTGCCCGTTGATATCGATACGTCCATCCATTTTTCCAACACTTTGCAAATGTTGCAGTATCTGTGTGGATGATGCCGTTGTGTACAGTGTGGAAATTTTCCGCCGAAAGGGATCAATTTGCAGTTGTAAAACTCATAACACGTAAACAGATTTACTCAATACCAGCTCGTGCGTTCACGTACGGACAAAGTGTGCTGTATTAAGTGCCGTATGTTATAGATTCTAAAAATTCCACCATTTCCGTGGATATAAATAAAGCAAAAATATAGCAGATCACGATTGATTGTTCGCGCGTGCCGTGCACTCGGATTGTTCGGGAGTAAATCCCATTTGCAAGGCTCTGGACGAAATTACAAATCTTTCGCTGCAGTGCGCCGGCAAGTTCCCTAGATTACCTGTGGTTCAATCCTCCTGTTTCTAGTCATCATCGGACTTTTAGCGCTGTCAGGCCATTAAAACCGATCTCAATCTCCGGCTGCATGATACGATACCCATGAAATTTCGTTAAAAAATCGGTCAGGGCTTAATTATTATATTTTGTATGGCTGCTTTGCAATCAGGAGCATCATTACACTGTCTATAAGGCTCCGTACTAGGTCTGAAAGGCGATACGGTGGAGTACTCTTCGTACAAGCGAAATTGTCCTGTTATAAGGAATTTCTGTGCGTCATAAATTACTGTAGGTCTGGAACAGCTTGAGATTACACCTTTACGGCACTAGCAGTCGTATCAGATTTTCCATCTCTGCTTGCCGATCTCACCAACGAAATATTATGTAGCAATGAAAACTAGTGCAATAATCCTTAAAATTATTTTCCGGTATACTGTTTATTTCGACAACAGCCAGTATACATAACAAAATGCCTGCGCCGATTTACACTAATAAAAATGATCGAAAAAAACTAATAAAAATGATTTTCCGGAACTTTACACTAGTCGGAGACCCGAAATAGATGGTACCAATCTGACGATTGCGGCATATTGTACTGATGCTTGTACAGAGTACATACCGATAATATAGATATAATACAGAATGCGCTAGTGCGCTCTGGACAGCTAGATTCAGTTACCCAGGACTGGAAGTTACTTGTAATAAACTGATGTTTGCATTGCTCGCACAAGTTGCAATAATGTTACTGAATAGTTGCCTAATGAGAAAGAGATATGCCATATTAATTACGTAGAACGATTGTAAAATTAATAGACTCATCGGACTGTCATTAAACCGAAACGAAATCTTTCTCGCACTCTCGCAGTTTATAACTTTATACCGCATTACTAATGTCACGGTCCTTGTACTGCTGAGCTACTGTCGTTCTGTCGACAGAAAAAAATTCAGATGGGGTTTTTACTTTACTCTCTAGAGACCTGAACTGGCAGTTAACAGATGTGTAAAAGTGGCTCATCAGGCGACCCCATACGCGCCAATGCGTACGGTTTGTGCCGACTAACCACAATTAAATTTTAATTACACGCCACCATGAATAATAGACACTACAGCAGCCTAATCATGGAATTCATCTTCTTGGCCAATGATACGTCCACATCGATTAATGCTTCCAGCCTGTCAGCGGTGATGACAATAAAATACATAAGCACGTGACTGCTATGCAGCCTTTTAGAAGATAGCAAGATTTTGTTATATTTGCGCATCATAACGTCGCAGCCGAGCGGGCGACATTAAGTATGTTTACGATGAGCATGTAATAGAAAATCAATACGTAAACTGGATATGTCTGCGGTATACTTAAGATTAGCAAACCCCCGTTTTTTGTCCAAAGCGTCACATTACGGGTGCGCTCGTTTGATGTACCGCCTTGTGGCCCGTCTGTTCCGCCGTGCATCCCAAACAATGCGGCAACTAATTTCCGCGTCTATATACTGACTGTTGGATTAGAATGGCCTCTTTATCTATCCTTTATTTGCCGCACATCCGGCGCGGTTTTACCCGAATAAGCCGCGGAGTCCACAAGGAGGGCAAGTAGTAACCGCTTACTGCCACAATGAGCGTTTTAGCGGCACTATGGTATTGTAGCGGATATTATTGTTTATTAATAATCCTTGGTTTCCTGCCGGTATCCCCGGCTCAGCTGGCCAATCACACGCTATCTACGACTGCACTATTAACCGAAGATGACCTCATCATCCTCTTACGAAATTACCACCGGCTGGCTAACATTACACACGCCAACGAAAGGCAGTTGTCGCGTTTTATGGCAAAAAAGATGGATATGTTTTCTAACTTTTCTGCGGACGTGTTTCCATTTGAGGAACCAGTTAATGAATTGACATTGTCGTTTCGCATTATTGCCACCACGATGCATTTAGCCATTTTCTTACTGGGAGTGTCCGGCAATGCCCTGCTGGTTGTGGTGGCACATAAATCCAATTTTCTCAAGCAGCCTATGTATACTTATCTGGTAAGCGCCTTAATCATAGCTGGTGAACATTTTTTATCATTAAATTATAGAATTTTCTACAACGGCAGCGTTAACTACACTAATGAATTAACTAATGAATATTTACACTTTATTTATCCTTTATTGCTATGGCATTTTGCCAGCTTTAATATACCAGCTCTGATGGATTAGTTATAGAAAAACCGTTGATAACGCCTGACAATTACTAGGAATATTAAAGTTGTTTCAGAGAAGCCACGCCATGACTAGGTTCTGGTCAACAGCTTTCTCTTATTGCGGATTTGGCATTTTGTCATACTGTAAGACGTATCCTATTACTTTAACTCGATTAAATGGATGACATAAGTCTCTAGCAATAACCTTTACTAGGATGTTCGAACGGGATTACGGGATTAGAAACTGCTGTAGGATCTCATCATGTTTTAGCTGCTACAGTAATTAGCTTATGACCCTAATGTAACGTTTTTAAATAGCAGTTCTGGCTTCCTCGATATTTGTGAAGAAAACGTGCTGCTTGGTGCGATATCGACGTTGTCGGTACCGGCACGCGCTTCCTAAGGACTAGTGATGCACCACTATGTTAAACAGAACTACTCGTATTTTGGCCGCGTGTCAGAATTGCTAAGGTATGCAACTGTTTGGATGCATTTACCGACCTGGAGAATATTTAGATAACTCAACCGGTATAACATCCTCAATAACTTAGCTAACAGAATATTGCAAGTATGTAACTGTGTAATTCTGTAGCAAAAATCTTAAAAACAATCGGTTTGATTACTGCCTTCTGCTACAGAATTTATAGGGTTTCAACGATATTACGCTTGCAGTACAGTACCGTCATATGTGGTAAACGCACAGGTAGAAAACTGCCTCAATCTTCGAATATTAGGATGCACAAAGTCTGAAACAATCTTTTCGATGGAAAACCCTGCTTTATGGATGTTCTGTTATTCCAGATTTCTGTGACAGTTAAAAGGGCATTATCATGTCGCTCCCGGTTCACCGGTCAGGCCGGCGACCCGCATCCTTCTGCTAATGTTTGCGCCCAGTTGCAAAGCCCGTACAAGTGTGAGCGTGATAACTTATATCCCATTATAAATACTAGTCTGACCATTAAAAAAACGTATTACAAGTCAAGTTATCATTTCTTAAATTACCTCGAGCCAGTATGAAGGTACGGTAGAAAGAGTGACCTTTATACACAGGGATTCGTGGAGAGAAAATTATCTCGATCTAGATCAAACAGCATGACGCTCGTCTTTGTTAAGAGCGTCCTTTCGAATGCCTGGGACCCTCGTCAATTCGTTACCCTGTCCTTAGACTGCTTACCATAATTATAATCGAGTCAGTCGACTGCGTTTTGCAGCTTTCTGTAAAGATGTTCATACCTGATAAGCTGACGTAGGCGTATCTCTTATACACAACCACTGACATTCATTGGCCATGGTTTTTGCTGTCGAACATGTACGCAGCAAGTTAGTTTTAATTTTTACTCTAGTATCACACCATGCACTATCACGACGTTCAGCGAAACGTATCTAAACTTCTGTGTAGTTTGTCTAGAGATGTATCCCTGTAGATTTCCGCTGGTAATCCGACAGCTTATCACCCAGGAGCCTGATTTTGAGCGCGAGCTCTATGAACTTGACATGATGGTGCAATAACGACCCAGACATGCATCCATGCGCGACTGAAGGTGAATGTATGGATTGTTCTAAGGCGTGATCCATAATCATGAATCCCTTAGAAATACTCTATAGAGCACAAAATAGCCTTATGGTGCTATTGCTTGTACAAAAATAGCAGTCATATTTTTAAATCTCAACCTGGATAGGTGCGTCTGTCAAGTGTCAACAACGGGCGACAACACGATTTTTCCAAGTTAAGGTGTCGCAACGTTGAACCGACATTTGTGTAATGATGCTAATCCGTTACGCCACGTACAGTATAGTTGATACAGTACAATAAAATATTTAATAAAGATTTTATACTGTGTGTATTAAAAGCGTTTATCTACAGATATTTGTGATGGCGCGGCTTGCAAAATTGCAATGGCTTTTGTTTTCCCAGAACACTAGTTTTCAGCTGCGCATTAGTGCGATAAAAGTGATAGATAAATTGGTGGTAAAGTGTTTCAACTCGCAAATATATTTAAATCCTATCGTTATAGGTGACTACCTACCTATATTCATACCTAGACAGTAGACACCTGCTCTAGTCTAGCAATTTGTCGGTGCCTAACGGTAACGGGATTCCGGAAGCGAAAGAACGTACTCTATAACAGGCATCAAAAGCATAAACTAGTGACGTAGTATAATACATAAATGCAGCTCGTAGTTGTAGAGTATAAACTAATAATTACCAAACAAATCTGGTAAAGACAATAGGACGGATTTAGTTATGCGATTTGCCGGTACCTTCACATGTTTTATTTGCACGCACTCTGTGACGTTAAATAATTTCATAAGCTGGTACAGACGCTTTATTAATAGCATGGGAGCACGGCGACTTTTATTTTTGTAAAAGTAAATGTTTACTTAAAAAGTAAACCCAGATTTTGTTGCGAACTGCGCGAAATTACACAATATCAATTTTCAAAACAGCGATACCCTTAAAAGCGACCTAAAAAGTTATTTTCTTTCGTACTATTTTCACAAAAATATTAGGCTGTGCCAGAGCGAGGCCGTATTGTACCGACGCACTGAATTTTGCAATGTTATCACTACAGCAATTAGCTGTAGATGTTCTGTGGTCGTAAGGGGCATCCAAGTATCATCCTTCACACTCCAGCGCGTTCAATTGCTTTACATAATCTCCACACTTCCGGCCGCCGGATGTACGTCATCGTCTGCGGTTTGACTGGAATAACAGCAGAAAACTTTAATTAATTTTCTTAGAAAACCAGAAATACAGAGTATTCTCAGACCTTTTGTTGATCGCAGATTTTACGATGAAAACTTTTACTGATATTTGCAATTATTCAATATGCTGTACCTAAATAAGTGAAATTTTGTCAAGTTTTTTTAGTACATGGAAATTAATTTTGATCAAGCAATCTGTTAGTGCAATCGATTAAATGGATTCTTTTCGCTGATAAACCGGAAGCAGTTCCTGCTGCGTTAGCTGGGATTTTGTTGGGCCGTATTTCAAGAAACAGCTCGTGGATGGCGTATTGGTATAAAAATTATTAATTGAAAATATTCTGCGTACCTTGTCTCGGATTGTACATTATCCATACATGCGATAGAAGGCACTACGTAAAGAAACATCCTCGCCAAGTTTCATTCAGTTTTTGCTAATGTGGTGGCTGTTGGCATGCTGTGATGTCGAGTCCATAATTAGCTGAAATGAAAGGTGGATCCCGTTTGTTATAATGATCGGGAAAACATTTACCAAATTAGAGGGCAGTCGGCAGATAAGACCCGTACCCGAAGGCATTTATGTTTGGCTAACGCGGGATCAGATCAAAGAGACACAGCTTTGTGCGGTGACTGCATGTAACGACTTACGTAGGAACAGAATCAACGTACTACGCCGATCTACCATTGTAATGTCGAAAAAATCGATAGGATTGCTTACACTTTTTAGTGTTGAAAAGCCGGCAGTAAACCGTCAGAAATACCATTGACTTCCACACAGAATGATATTGCTAGCAATTTGCAAAAAATAAAGTGAAGATTCGTTATTCGTTGCTGTACATTGGATCTAATCACATTTGCTTGCGTTCGTCAGTGTATATATATATTACCGTGGGAATTCCGATCTTTCTTATAATTAAGTATAAGCACATGTTCATTCAGTATAAAAACTACCTTCCTGATAGGGCTTACGTAGCTCCGCCTTCGTCACGCGTGCGTTCGTTGATTTGTTGGGGAGTTCCACATTTATAATATACTGGTAATATGCCGCGCTTATCAACCCAGATCGATACCGTACCTGGTGACCTTACACACTTTACAGGAACCTGCTCAGCATGAATGTTGCTCTATGTGCTACTCAATTGATACGGAAATGTTTGAATTTGATTATGATGTTTAAGCCCATTGATTATGAAGTTAATGATATTTTGATTTACGAAAAGATCAAGCGTTTCAAAAGAAAAATATGGCTCATTTGACTGAGCAATCATTATTCTTGTGTTTTGTCTCTCTGATAATCACTTGCATCTGCAATGGTACTTGTCTGGATGAGTATTACGAAAATGTTGATAGGGATGCGCTTTTCGAAAGGGATGATGACGAGCCACGAGTGTATGCGGCATTTTCCGCGACTAATGCCGGTAACAACTCGGATTACCGCGTCCCAATGTATATCTATCGCGTGAAGAGTTCCCGCACGTCACGGAGGTCGAACACTACTGCTGATAACAGTACCGTGATTAATCCGCTGACCGTACCATTTCGTATTGCGGCGACCACACTGCACTCAGCGGTTTTTGTCCTTGGTGTTGCCGGAAATGTGCTGCTGGTTATTGTGGCTCATAGATCGGCATTATTGCAGTATCCCATGTACAGTTATTTGGTAATTACAGCATACAAATTAAAACACTCTGTTTGCTCATTGACTAATAATTTAATGATTTATGCTGACTTTTACGACCATTACGAAAGTAATTAAGAATTTTTATTGGGTTGTTCAAAGGAATGATGCTGAGTCAGGATTCAAATAAACACTTATAAAACACGCTTTTGGCTTAACTGCGTTCTACATAGTATAAGTATTTACGATTTTTTTAAAGTGGTACTTAATTTAAAAACTAGCACAAAGACACAGTTTGTGGAATAGTAACGTTTTGCAAAATCGTACAAGCTAGAGTAGTTGTGTACTTTTGTTTTTAGCTAGAGTAGTTTAATTTATGCATTGGTTCCATGAAAATTATGCTGGCGAATGAGAAGCGATTAAGATCCTCAATAACGTTTTCATAATTGTACATTATTTTGCTCTTTTATGCTTTGAGCTGTAGAATATTTTAAAATGCAAAACTCTATCTCTATCTCACATTGACTTTTTAATAATTTTAATGCAATCCAGTAAGCCTACATTCGGCCTCATGTTATCTCATCGGTTTTCTTAATCCTTGCGTTAGTGTTAAATTTCCTTCTCATCATCTAAGAAAGCGCTCAAACAGAATAATACAGTTATAACTCAACGTCAAACTGAGCCGATTCCTTGGAAATTCGTAATATAATACTGTAAATGTCGCGTTTTGACCGCTATTGCATTCAGTACAGACGCATTTGTTGCAACTTCATGCAACAACTGTTACATAAACCTTGAAAAGGTCGCAGTAATGAAATTTTTGAAATCGTTTTAGCATGTGCCTTTAGTTTTTCATTTTGTGTAGTTTTGCAGTTTATTTTCAGCAGACCAGTTGATAATCTGCAACGAGATGTTTTTTCCTTGTTACGCTAGTATGTACTGTAGTCACAAGACAGGTACGGTCTTTTCTCCATTAATGCCGGTGATAAATTACATCGGCTAATTTGCCCTTTGACAAATGATTATCGTCGCTTCTAAAAAATGTTCGCTAATAGGGAATCTTGTAGTTGGTAATGGATGGTTTAATGGTTTCAAGTGAGCTGATCGTAAGTGGCCGGCAATCATATAAGACCTCTAAGCTCATTACATTGTAGGGTGTTTTTGCTGGTGATAAAACATATTGCACTTTGCTAGTCAGAATGGTCAGACTTTGTTCAGCTGCAGATGCTGATCCGCGCACATAATCAATCTATCCTTAAGGCTACTCGTTAAAGAGTGTAAATCGATGGAAACATTAGTTCCCTTAAAAATGTTTTCAAATGTAGTCTCTAACTCTACGAGATCCAGGCAATGCGTACTAAATGTAAATTGTACTGTGGCCCCAGATGAGTTTGTACAAACGTTAAGACAGTTATGCAGTATATACTGTATACGAACGGCATTTCTTAGCCCTAAAGGGAAATCCACATGTATGGTAGCCTCGGTACATGGTGCCAGATTATGTACCTATATAATAATACACACCTAATACACATATCTATATGTATACATAAGTGCCTAATAATACACCCACTGAAACGGGTACTTGCGCGCACTGCGAAAGAGCTTTTTGCATTGTTATATTTCATTCAAAGCCAAGTAATAGGTTTACATCGGCCCGAAAGCAAATTATCCGTCCAACATCTTGTTGCTGAGATATGCCTAATTAAAATGGGCAGGACGTTTAAGCGCATTATTGTCGTGTACCAAAAGGCAGGTTATTATCCGACCTCCTTAAAAGCTACTAAAAGGCTCCTGATTTATGACCATAAAACATGAACAAGAGTTAATAAACCAGAAAATTTATGGCATTTTTGAATTTTAAGTGTAAATTTGAAAATCCATTTAAAAATTGAAGTGGGAAGCTATGGCCTGGTTGCGGTGCAAAACCTTCTTTCATATTTATGCGCTCTTTAGAGCAAAGTTTTATGAAGGTTGGGTAATAACCTAAGCTTTGAAACACGACAACGCATTTGAATTTTTGCCTTTTACTTTGGCATATCTCAGCAACCGGGAGTTACACGCAGTTTTCAGGACAATGCATATTTCGGATTTAAAACGAGATAAAACATTACAAAAGGTGTTTTGCAGTGCGCTCACAATACATGTTGAACAAAGCGCCACCTTACTGATAATAATTAAGTACTTGTTGCTAGTACAGTAATATACCAGTATGTCAATACGGCACAATTACACGCTGCAAAAATCTCTTGCAATTCTTTCTAGCCGTTTTGGCGTAAGAAACTTGGCGTTTAGTATTTACTATTTTTTTAATTAGCGTCATTGTTACAACACACGAGCCAGTGTGCGCGCAGTATAGAAATTGCTGGAAATCCTGCTATTGCGGCTGCTGGCGGATTATACGGGATAATTCAGTGAACAAACTTCACATTTTATTTTCCGTATTACGATTTTATTTAATCGATGGATGAATTATCAGTATTTATTTTATCGGTAATTCTGTGAGATTTTTGTAGGTGTCGATGGCCTATGCCGATCTACTGGTCTGCTTAACGGCCATTCCGGAAGCCATTGTGACGTACCACTTAGGAAATCAGTGGTTTCTTGGTCAAGTGGGATGCTCTGTGTTCATTTTTCTCAATTTCTTTGGAATTAATGCCGGGGTCACCAGGTAAGTTAGCATCAAAACGTGGATCAATTTTAAGTTTGAGGTCTAGTGAAGCACTTACGTGGCATCCAGAATTGAGAATTTCATGTTGAAAAATTTTCTGGTGCTCGCCCTACAATTTGTGACCATTGCCAAGACAGAACTTGGTAATGGTCACAAATTGTAGGACAAAAATGGCCACAAATGCTAGGACAAATTGTAGTTTATTTCAGGAACGATAAAGAATTTTATAAAGACTAAAATGGCGCGCTCGTATACTGTAGCAGCATTTTCAAGGAATTTTATACTCTTAGCACTGTAGTAGGACCTTACAAACACAAACGTAACCAGGATAGCATAAAGCCATATAAACATCGCCATATGAATTACAGAAAGATATTTAGGCCCACTTGGACGTGTCCACTGCATATTGCTAATAAAACAGAAATTTTTTCCGTTCACCGTTAGATAGAATTTCGTATAAGCATGTGCTGGCATTGTTCTTCTTAGATCAGAATAGATACAGTCTGAAAAGTCGTAATCGAGCTTTATGTTAGTCCTGAATATTCCATTTCCTGCTCTACTTGTATGCTGTTTTAGTTCGCTAACCGTAGTGTTAATTCTCACCGTTTTACACTTAAACGGATACATTCGCCTCTCTTTTTGACCTTTTTACAACTGCTTGTCAAATCTCACTCTTCTGCAACGTGCCTGTAATCACCGGTATTCGTTTTGCAGTATGTCCATGATGACCTTTGAGCGTTACGTCGCCATTTGCCGCCCATTATTAGCTCGCAAAGTGTGCACCGTGGAGCGCACGCGCAAGATCATCATTTGCTCTTGGGTTGCCGCCGCCGTCTACTGCTCACCGTGGCTGGGACTGACCGAAGTGAAACCCATCGAAGGCACCGATCGGCAGATCTGCGATTTTCGCTTGTCGCAGGCGTACTACATGATTATCTTTGGCGCGGATCTGTTATTATTCTACTTCACTCCGCTGTTGGCGGCGGTGGTGATCTACGTAAGGATCGACGAGACGTTGCGGAAGCGTGAAGCGGCGATCGGTGTGTCCATCAATACGGCGGACGATTGGAAGTTCTCGCGGGAGTCAACCATACGGCACAAGGATCAGCAAGAGTCGAAGAAGTCCCTTTTGCCTAACACTGGCAGCACTATAACTGTCAGTAACGGACACAGTAGTGCCTCCAGTGGGACCGAATCGACACTCACCCAGCGTAAGCAGATCCGAGCGCGTATACAGGTATGCATGGCAATGTGTACTGTAAAGTTAGCCAACGGCAGAGTGGCAGACACGACCTTTGCTGCTTGACACTCGAAATTTGGACATAAACAGGGGATCTTTTAGGTTGTGCGAATGCTTTTTGCGACCGTATTAGTATTTGCCATTGCCTGGCTGCCATTCCGTGGTTTGCTGATGTACAATACTTTTGCGGCCACGCCCTGGCTCAACGAATGGTACTCCTTATTCGCCAAGACGCTCATCTATCTCAATTCGGCGATAAATCCAGTCCTGTATAACATAATGAGTGCGAGGTTCCGAAGGGCGTTTTATCAGACTATCACTTGTAAAAGTATGTACGTTTAAAGGAAAGTTACTTGAGGTTCAGTTAATTAATTAATTCTTGATGTTTTCAGAAGTGCGCAGATCGTCCAAAAAAGCCAATGGTAACGACGGAACAAGAACCACGAGCGTCGCTTATCTGTAACAGTATTAAATCATGTCTTCAGTACCTATCTTTCTTTAGGTATTCGGATTTCTTTTATTTTTTGCTCCGAGATTTTAGATTGAGCGAGCGAGGTTTAAGAATTGAAGCTTCGATTGCACAGCTGTACGCACTTCTTGAATAATATTGTAGGTTGTAAAACGGGAAGGTAAAGTCAGAGGATTAGAAATCATACAAGCTCACATTTCAGAAATCTTGTTAGTCCAAAGCGTTGATTCTCCCATAAATCGCGGCTGGTACTGTATAAGGTGCTGCTACAATAATTATGGTACTACAAACCGGTACCCTTTTATGTAGCTTTATGATTAACCAGTGCCGCTCTACAATAATGCAGACTACTACATCAGTAGTCTGCACTATTGTAGAGCGGCACTGGATTATCAATACTAAAGTACAAATTCATATTTACGTATTCGTATTCATAACTTCGTATTAAATTTTACGTCGATACCGGCAAATAATGCGCAATATTATCCAATACTAGCAAATACCAACCAATATATACTAACCATTATTAGTCGATAGTGACCGTACTAACCACTGCTAGCTACTGTAATACAAGCCCAGCGCGGATGAATAATGTCTTAGGATTTCGAGCATGTAAAAGGTTAACTGTATATGTATTAAATAATGGCGCGATGTCTATTACATTAAGGAGGCACGAACAAAATAAACAGGCGTGAGCAGTACCTGTTATTTTGCTAATTCGCAATTCGCTAATTTCAATGGCAAAACATATAGTAACAATCTGGGGATTTACAGTTAGCTAATGGCCACCATGGTAACAAGCTTTTAAGTGACCACTGGACTGTGGGTAGTGGGCTTTTCAGAAAACTGATGATGCAGGAACACTCTCGACACCGAGAGGATTCTGTATCACTTTAGAGCGGGTAGATTGGATGTGTGGAACGGGAGAAAATTGGTTACAACGGCAAAGTGTCGAGGACCCTGGTTACGTAGTTAGTATTCATATAACCAGTTTACGGGATCTACATCCGTACACAAACTTTTGCGGCGCACGTTTGTTACGCAATGCACGCTTCGCAACGGTTGATTGCATTGATCCCAGCCGCCAAGAAAACTACGAAAACTAAGAAAGAGAAAATCTAAGAAAACTTCAGAAACCATAAGGAAGCCTAAGAAACCTAAGAAAACAAAGAAATCCAAGAAATCTAAGAAACCTAAGAAACCTAAGAAACCTAACAAACCTAAGAAAACCTAAGAAACCTAAGAAACCTAAGATATCTAAGAAATATCGTATATGAAAGAATACGAGGTATACCGATCACGCTGGTGGGATTGACTGCGATCAATTTTTGCTTGTGTTTCTTAAATTTTCAATACTTTGTAACGTGCCGATGCCGAAGGCCGCGGTCTGTCTCGGTTTTTCCGAACGGTCCGCAAACAGACAATGTATTTACCATGTATGTCTATGGGGGCCCATGGCAACAATTTGTTTTTTGGGGCTACTCCTTCCCTTTTGGGGCGTATCGATTTCGCAATAGCGTAAGAACATTCACGCCGTTGAGACGAATTTAACGCACTTGGCCGCGTCGAAATCGGTTCAGCCGTTTGCCCAAACATTGGCTACATTATCAATCGTGTATACGTGGTTACGGATGTAGATAACCAGTTTACGGAGGACTACATCCGTAACCAATTTATCGGCGTCGGCTTTGGTGATTAATTAATTTTGTTTTTGTTCGCATCGAGGCCGCTGGCCGAGGCGTATCGTGTCATTTACGCACATGGGAACAACTTGTCCATGTATGTCTATGGAGGCCCATGGTAACAACTTTCCTTTCCGGTCCCCTTTTTTTCCCTCGAGGCGCATCGTCTCGGTAATAGTCTAACATCCACCGCGTCGTTGCAGCGGTTCTGGCGCACTTGACCGCGTTGAAATCGGCCTACCCGTTCTCCCAAACATAGGTTTTTTAACCTTACTCTGTCACGGTTGTTACGGATGTAGTTAATTACCAAATACCAGTTGCCAGTATCAGGTGTTAATCACCAAAACTAACCAATACATAGCAATACTAACCCCTACCCGTAATATCAAATACTGCTCAATAATTATCTATATTAGCCTATACTCACGTATACTGACCAACATATGCAATATTAGCCAATATTTATCAATACTCACCTGTGAAAGCATATCTCTGTAGATATGTGCATTGGCTGTTGCCTATTAACATACTCATTAATACTAACCAATATTTAGCAATACTTACCAGTTACCAATACTTCCCAATAACTACCAAGATTAGTATCCCCAACCCCAAGACTGGGAATTTTTTATTTCAGCTCGCGTGAGAGTATCGAAAACTAAAACCTTGTACTAACAGACGTGCACCGTGCTTCGTTATCGTGCCCTGGATCATCCATAATAAAACAGGGAAAAAAACTTAATTAGTTAATTCACAACTTAATTCAAGAAACCATTAAATATTTTTTTGTAAGGGCATTTGCTTTACAGTTTACACTACGTTACGGAAAGATATTACCTCGTGATGGCACAGTTAGTGCCCACCATACACAGGCTGAATAAAGCTTCTAGCACAGTATTAATACTTTGTAATACACATTATCTGCAGTGAACATTGAACAATATAAAAAGCTTCCAGTAAAAACAACTAAACTGTTCTATCGCTATTGAAAATTTTAACAAGCAGTTAATATTTTATAACATTTTCTAACAGTGTCTTCTTGCCTGCGTCCATCTTCAGATCTGCAGCGCCACGTACCGGTTACACCAAAGCGCTAAACCAGGAAATACGGCCCAGAACCGATACTACATTTTGAAAACCAGTAGTCGAAAACCCGGTCGGACAGTACTTCTACCTTTAATTTCTTTCAAACCAGCCTCCGTTTCAATCGGCGAAAATGAAATAAAAACTGATAAAAGAACTCCCTGCTCAAAAAATGCCATTTTATTCTGCAAATAGTCCGAATATTTGCAGACTAAAACGCCTTTTGTCTAAAAAAAATAACTTTTGTCCCAGATGATCTTGCTACCATGCTACCTCATTAAGCCAATTAAAAAAAACACTTATACCAAGAAAAAAACTTGTAGTAATAAAACATACAGTAACACGTCCACTGCGACAAATAAGCGAAATACAGTGCAAGCACTTCTTTGTTTGTCTAGTAAAGCAAAAATACAGAAGAAAAGCTATAAAAGGTCATCCGGCTTTCTTAAGGTAATGTCGATACTTTGAGTCTGGTTGACGATTTAACTGCAGGTCGCCGCAAGCGCACGACGAACCGTAAAAAATTCCCTTTGATTCTCCAGTCTAGCTGCAGTAATTCTTGCAGCAGTAACGTTTTGAAGAACCACTTCAGCATCTTGGCTGATATTACAAACACGCTTTTCTGGCCATGGTAATTTTAATTTTAAACGAAATGGCTAAGTGGAAATTATCTCCCTTATTAGGTTGGACTTCGTACGACCACTTATCTACGGCGAGAAACGATATTGCGAAGTATTACGAATTCTTTTTCAATTGAAATAATACCTGACTGCTTCACATTATAGCTGTCATGTAACCTCTAACACAACAGTTAAAGCGTAATCGCTCTGACAACCACTAGATATTCCCAAATCCCCACCGTCGAGTTAGGACCTCAACATGAGCAGCCGTTACTTAAATCAAATTATTCATGCTAGTTTCTTTTTGCGAGCTACGTGCTTGTACGTTTTGAGGAGACGTCAGCGTTTCCACCTGTATTATGTAAGTGCCTTCAAGAACCACTCTCAAAACTATTCGTTTCGGGTGTAGTTGCCGTTCTGGATTTACTTGCCCAGCACAGACACAGACAAACAAGCATGCACTTTGTACGCAAATCAAGCGGCCTGCGCTGAAAGTCTGAATCTGATTCTGAATGCTAAAAGTCTGAGTCTGAATACTGAAAGTCTGATTCTGATTCTGAATGCTAAAAGTCTGAATCTGAATACTGAAACTTTGATTCTGCATACTGAAATTCTGAATGAGCTTTACTTCACCTTCTAAATTTTTTAAGACGTTCTGCCATCACAGTAATATTAAGCACAATACTGGCAGTTGACACATCAAACGTTTCGAAGAAAACTTTTCAGCAACGTTTGTGGCAATAAAGAGCATGTCGGTTGAAGCATTTCGAAAATATGACTGTGAAAAGACAGAAAACGTAGCACAAACTATTTCATTTTTCGGTTTTTTGAATTCTTCACCGAACCTTTTAATTTTTTGTTTTCGTCGATAGTTTACATAATGGCTTATGCAACAAAAAATATATCATTAAATTATTTTTATTTGCATAAATGCACAAATTTTTTACATTACTTCAAATGACAGAGAGGTAATTATAGAAAATTATTTTTGGAATACCCGTTGTATGTACCTAATTGGAATTTTTGAAGGCGAGTAATTTTCTCTAATAATACAGCCCTACTCAGCCAAGTTGGGGCACTTTTGTTGAATAATTATAAAATAATTGTATACACTGTTTCGTTTTTGAACTTGCAGTCACCTAGAGTGACTTTTTACTGTGAATTTAGGAGTTTTAAAACCGGTACCCTTTGGTCTGCCAGTAGGGAGCCGAGCACTGGTTAAGGGAGTGCGATAGTGGTCATTTTTAGGATGCTTATACCGGCCCCTCTGAAGGATACACCCACAAATATTTTTACGTGGGCTTTTCTGGAAACTCTTAAGCAAACCGAAGCCTGTCCGTTGTGCGTCAGCAAAAAAATCTAGCGCGATCAGTGCTCGGGCTGATCGCGAAACAGTGTGAACTTCTCATAGGCTTGTATGGTAAGACATACCTGACGATTGACGAAGAATGCGGTCCCCTAGCGCTCAGACCAGAAAAACTGCAAGTTGATATCATCCATGAATAAAAAATGGACCACTTGAAACGATTTTGAGGTTTGAACAGGCACAAACTGTCCAGCCAGAGAAATGCAGTGGCCGGATGAATAGAATAAAAAATCAGCAAAGCGGTTGCAAAAAAATTGTATGCTTGCTCTTACAGTGTCTTGAAATGGAGTGTTTTAGGCATATTGTACGAGTGGAAGACTTTTTATTTACTCTCAAGCCTTGGCAAGTACGATTTCGTCGAAAATAA